ATCTAATATACATTATATATATGTTTGTTTTTTTTTTAAATTATATCATTATGATCATATCATCAATAATTTCAAAATGAACTCAATATTGAATATTTATTTATTTAAAAATATTATAATTCCGGTTTGTTCTTTTGTTTTGAAATAATATTACCTTTGGGTACCTTCTTTAGGTTAAAAATAACATTCAATTTTAGGTTCCATTATTTTTGTAAATTCAATTGTATTTTAATTATAAATTTTGAAGTTTATTATGAACATAAACTTCACACTATTAATTTACAAAAAAGTTTGATATCCCGACACATTACGTGAACACCCAAACTAATATATATACATATATATATATATATATACATATATATATATATATATATACTCTTAGTATATCAAATAATATTGTATTAAGTTTATCTTGTGTTTTAAATTGTAAATTATAATCAAATAAATTCTATACAATAATTATTATATATTTTAATAAAAACAGAATAATAAATAAATATTTTATTTAATTAATTATTAATGTCTTTTAATGATTAAATTGGATAATGAAGATGGTCTAAATAAATAAAAATGGTCATTTTTATTTTTTCCAAATATGAATTAATTGAATGGATTCAATCATCACATGAATTGATACAATAATTTTAAAAGGCAAATTGAATTGCACATGTATACTTCTAAACCTAAATTGAATCGAGTTAAATCTATTTTTTAACAAAATATGGTAAAAAAAACCCAGGTCCAACCAAATCAATCATCGATACAGAAAAGTAAGGGGTCGTTTACAAAATTCTTACTCGGGTAAGGTTTACCAAGTCACATTTCTTTAGCGGATGAGTATGACAAGGACCAATGATATTATCTGGTAAGAACGAAAACAATGACCGAGAGTCTTACCTGGTAAGTGAAGGTGACGACTCTTACCGCGGTTAACACTTATCCGGTAAATTATTATATACGATATTATTTTGATAGACTAAAATCTTACCCGATAAGTAAGTGATAGAATTGAATTTTACTGTTAAGCGCCTAGTTTAATTATGTGTGTTTTCAAAGTAATTATTTTATTTATATATTATTTAAGAAAAAAATTAGAAAAATAATGAAAAGGATAGGAAAATATCAGTTTCAAAGCATATTGTAGTATCAAATCTCAGGAATATCCATTTCTGTATTTATGCCTTAAAATGTTTTTATTTTAAATTTATCCCTCATTTAATTTCACCTACTTATTTTTTATTTTCCTTTTATTTTTGGCCATCCTCAATATTATGTACAATATAAAACCTACTTTGTTCCTGTTTATATTTTAACAACATTTCCAAATACTATTTCATGTTTCCTTTAAATAAAATACCTAAGACCAATGTGTCTCAGTCTCAATGTGACTAAGGGGATGTTTGGAATTGCTAATAAAAACAACTTATTGACTTATTCTGGTGTGACAGCGGTAATAAACATATTTGAGTGTTTGGATAAACAACTTATATCGGAGTCAAGCCGGTAATAAGAAGTTAAACCTTTCTGACTTATAATAAGTTGATAAGTGTTTTTGTATAAAAGTATAAGTTGTTTCAAATAAGCGAACTCAAACACCCCCTAATCATCCTCTCGAACCAGCTACTGATCATCGCTTTGATAAGCTATTACCTTATCAACTGGCTAATCAGACGCGAGACCCTCCTCTGATGGATTCCTCATTTTTCTCCTCAGCCTACGGTGTGTTAGCAACTGTTTCCAGCTGTTGTTTTAAAAAACAACATTCAGTTAATAACAATTATTCTATTATTGTAATTTAAACATTAATCATATTATTACAATATTCTATAAATTAATCATCTTAATATATTTTAAAGAAAACTTTATAATACATTCAACTTAATTGATGAAAACAATTAAAATAATATATTTTCTCAAAGTATTAAATTTTAGAGATTTTTCTAAATTTGAATATATATGAATTTTCTTTTTAATTATATTTTTTAATCAAATCTCTATTTTAACATCAAGATACCATGAAATTAGTTGTCAGAAAACACAAAATTTTAGCTTTAAAAATCAATTATTTTCGTGGTTTTTCAAATATAATTATTTTGATTTAATAAAAAATATCTTAAAAAATAAAAATTACAAGAAATTAACCGATAGTTCGTTCCCTGTCTTGAGCAGCAGGGAACCCTATAAAACTTTACTCCCCATTACCATTACCATTTCCATTTCCATTTTCCTTCATTTCCTTCTCGTTTGCCCCCATAACCACTGTAAGTCGTTAGCTTCTTGATTGATTGATTCACATTATTGGTTGATTTCACTGTTTTTACGGTTTTGCTTACTTCGATTTCCATGAATTTTTCTTTGCTTTGTTTTCATGGCTTTAATCTTTACAACTTGTATTTCCTGATATCATTTTGTTGAATTTCGTTACCTAATTCATTTTTGATTCAGTATCTTATTATCTTTCATGTTTTGGATAACGTTGTCTTCATTTTCCATGTTGTTTCTCTTCTTCTTGTTGCTATTTGTAGGTTGCTGATGATCAGTTAGACGGAATACTCTTGCAACCGACAGGACTGTTATTAGATTTCATATTTCAGGCGCTTGGTTGCAATTGATACTTGAAGATTGTGGTACGTTTTCTTCCGCTATTCTCTTGGGGATGCTTGTTTCAGTAACTGTTTCGGTGTGTCATTAGGTTTAAGCGTATGATTGTGTTTGAGTTTTCAAACGTTTTCAATTTGGTTGGTTGTTAATTCAAGTGTTTGGTGGTTTTAATTGGTTAGTATCGATTTCTGAACAGATTGTCATAGGGGGTTTTGTGGATTCTTTTGGGTATTTTGATAATGGCCTCTAGAGCAATTTTGAGACGGAGGCGGCTTCTTTCTGATTACCTCCACATTTCTAGTCGTTCGATTCAAGGTCTGAGCCACGATTTCTCTACCAAATACTCAGACCCCGGTGATTCTAGCTCTAGAACAGATAGCCCTCTCAGAGACCTGGGCAGCAGAAAATATGATAATCCAACCATTAGAAGACGTGAGGAATTTAAGAACTTCTCTGAACTGGGGTTCTTCAGGCCGCATAAATTCTATACGATTACAGGAAATGGAACATTGGGAGATATGTTGTCCATGAGGATTCAATTGGTATCACAATCTTCAAGTTTTGCTTCCATAGCCACAGCACATCAACCAAATTTGGGTGGTGAGGATGAAGATAATGAAAAAGTTTCTAAAAGGAAGGAAGCTTCTCCAGAGGAATGTGATCAAGCTGTTGAAGGTTTGAGCAGTGCAAAGGCCAAAGTCAAAGCCAAACAGGTTTCTGAACCTCCGAAGGCCGCGAGATCCATATTTCAAAGAATTTGGGCAATGCTATTGGGGATTGGTCCAGCTCTAAGAGCTGTGGCTTCTATGAGCAGGTTTGATAATTGATAAACATTTGCAAGTTATTTTTAGGTCTGAACCGCAACCAAGATTAATCTCCATTTCTTTTGTATTATATTCTATTCAGGGAAGATTGGGCTAAGAAACTCGTTCACTGGAAAAACGAATTTGTATCTACCCTGAAGCATTACTGGTTGGGTACCAAGCTTCTTGGTGTTGATGTGAAGATCAGTTCCAGATTGCTTCTCAAGCTTGCTAGTGGGAAGAGTCTCTCTAGGAGAGAGAGGCAACAACTGACACGAACCACCGCAGATATCTTTCGGCTAGTTCCTGTTGCTGTTTTCATTATTGTTCCCTTCATGGAGTTTTTGCTGCCTGTATTCTTGAAACTATTCCCCAATATGTTACCGTCTACCTTTCAGGACAAGATGAAAGAACAGGTGCTGGTTCAGATGGCGTTCCAATCATAGAAATTTTTAGCGTTTATGTCGAGTTCATTCTGTCATTGTAAAAGTGGTACCAATTAGGGTGCATCTGGTACACGGTACAGGACGGGACATGACAGAACGAAAACTCGTTGCCTCATATTTGGTGGGACATTAGACTAGGACAGGACTTAGTGGAACAAAAATGCATTTTGTCCCAACAAGACAGGTGGATCAAAAATCAGGGAGATGAAACAAAATTGGTAAATTACTAAATACCCATATCAAATTAAAACCCTAAAACCTTGCACAATTTTTTCACCCATCTGCCTCACTCTCTCCTGTCCGGTCATGTCCTGTTTGCATACCAAGCACACCCAAGGAACTTAGACTTGGAGATATTAGCTCGATGTGATCCTAAGTACGCACATACTTTGCTATCGTTAAATCCTTGCCTTATAAGAACAAGTTGGGTTTTTTCCTGCCTGTTATTTTGAAACTTTTGCAAACATAATGTTTGATTTGCTTAGTTATGTTTACCTGTAGGAAGCATTGAAAAGGAGGCTAAATGCAAGAATAGAATACGCAAAATTTCTTCAGGATACAGCTAAAGAGATGGCCAAAGAGGTCCAAAATACTAGGAGTGGAGAAATCAAGAAAACAGCAGAAGATCTTGATGACTTTTTGAGCAAGGCAAGCTTGCAGTTGATAGTTCAATTACTGTACTTCTAGTTCCATTTCGAAATATGCTTCATTTACAAACCGATATACAGGTCAGAAAAGGTGCTATGGTTGCTAATGAGGAAATCTTGGGATTCGCAAAGTTGTTCAATGACGAACTTACCCTCGATAATATCAGCAGGTTGGATTTTCAGTCACATATGCAGCAGCATTACCTGAGTGTAAATGCCATTGTTTGTACTAACTTATTGGAACTGTGCTGTTTTCTAAATGGTTGCTACTATCAGGCCTCGCTTAGTGAATATGTGCAAGTATATGGGAATCCAACCTTATGGAACAGATGCTTACTTGCGGTACATGCTCCGCAAAAGATTGCAATGGTATGTACTTTATTTATCATTTAAAAATATTTTTTAATGTTGTTTGCCAACCCCTATTTCCACAACCCTAGCATTGCATTCTTGTGCTAAATTTCAAAAGCAGGGAGGGTCTCTAAAGAGATCAACAGTTGGGTTATGGGAAACTAAGAAATTGTATGGCATATAACCACACTTCACCAGCAACTCAAACTCTCTAGTGCACTCTGTGGATATCTTCACACATGAGGCGGGTGCCAAAATTGAGGACGCGTTGTTTAGAACATCTATCATTGTTGTTTCTCCATAGCCCAATTGGTGGCGGAAGTGGCTGCAACCAATAATTGTCTGGGAAGGCAAAACATTTTTTCCACAATGTATGTTGTTATTTTGGTTAGCTGTACATTTAGAACTTATGTCTTCTTTGTAGGATAAAGAATGATGATAAGATGATCCAAGCAGAGGGTGGTGTGGATGCTCTTTCTGAAGACGAACTCCGTGAAGATTGTAGAGAGCGAGGCATGCTTGGATTACTTTCAGTGGAGGAAATGCGTCAACAGGTTTCTTACGAGTTCACCTATGCAACTTTATTTGGCAATAATTAATGGATCAAATTTTAAATTAAATTGCTATTTACTCAAAAATATTTTTTTTCAGGGGAGTATAAGATGTTCAATGATTACCTGATACATAGTTGATAAAGTTTCATATTTGCTCTCTAGCTTTCGTGCTTTATTGCTAAAATGTATGTTTCTGAATCAGTAAACCTTGTTCTGCAGCTCCGTGATTGGTTGGATTTATCTCTTAATCACTCTGTTCCATCTTCACTCTTGATTCTTTCAAGGTAAGTGGATCATCCTCCCCACAAAAAATCTCATGAACATGTTTTGCACTTCCATAAAGAAAACCCAACGAAAGATATTGGAACTCTTATGCTGTGTTATTCTGACTGAACTCCTCTGCCATGCAGAGCCTTCACTGTGTCTGGAAAGTTAAAGCCTGAGGAAGTTGTAAGCGCGGCGTTGTCTTCCTTGCCAGACGAAGTTGTTGACACCGTTGGTATTACTTCCTTGCCATCTGAGGATTCTCTGTCAGAGAGGAGGAGAAAGTTGGAGTTCCTTGAAATGCAGGATAAAATCATCAAGGTTCTAGTCTCCTCCAATCAAAATATTAATGTTTTTCTACCCCATTTTCATAACCATTTGTGGTGTTTCTTCACTCTGATATGGATTTATTACTGTTCCATTCCTACGAATATACTATGGTGTTATAAAAATACTACTCCCTCCATCTCAAAATAAGTGTCCACATTTATATTTTAGTTTGTTCCAAATTAAGTGTCTACTTTCAAAAGCAAGTGCCTACTTTCCAATTCTACCCCTATTATAAGATGGAGAAATTTGTTACTCCCTCTATTATTAAGGGTAAAATTATCATTTAGTAAATAAAAAAGTGTAATAGTTACACATTTACAGAACTATATACCTTTTCCATTGTGGACATTTATTATTGGACGGAGGGGACTGTTCTTGAGCTTCACAAGAATTATTTTGTAAAATTGTTGAACTGCTAAAACCACTGTTTTACTTGGTCATTGTGTACTTAATAATCACAGGAGGAGGAAGAGAAAGAGGAAGAAGAGCAAGCCAAGATGAAGCAATCTGTTGGTGGCGACACGGATGTGGCATTGGAAGAGATGATTAATGCAACAGCTTCGGAAGTGCAAGAAGAAGCTAGAGCGAAAGCACTAGATAAACAAGAGAAGCTTTGTAAAGTCAGTGAAGCTTTGGCTGTTTTAGCTTCTGCATCTGTAAGGATTAAGATGATACAAGTTCTTGCTTATAAGTTGCTGCAAACATTAAATCCTAGTAGTTTGGTGGTATTTTCTAAAAGTATCTTCCTATTTTTGTTACTTTGTGCAGTCTGTGAGTAGGGAGCGCGAAGAGTTTTTGAGGCTTGTCAACAAGGAGGTATACCTGCATCATGGCTGTACCTATGTCTCTACATCATACTATCTCTGCATGTTGAGAGTTTCATTTACATAAATTTCTTTGTAGACAATAGGGGAAAGTTCAAATGAGAACCTTAAATATTTTGAGAACTTGGGAACCAAATATGTCATGTATTATTCATGATATATAACCCTAAATATTCATGAATATGATTTGACTATCATACATTTCCATTATGATTAATTTTCATCATGAATATCTATCACGATATTCATCTTAAATAAAGCATAAATAGTTGGTTCCCAGGTTTGTTCTCATTTGAACCTGCCCGGTAGACAGCAATCCTTAAATTGGTAAACCTTCGGGTTCTCTTGAACGCCTATAGTCATTTGTTGGTTTATTGCTTCTGAAAAAATTGTTAGATCACGGTTGTCATGGCACCGTGGTGGGAGCAACCGCCAGGACACCATAGTAATTTATAGTTTGTTTTCTTTTGGCAGATAAATTTGTATAATAGGATGATGGACAAAGAAGGCACCGATGGTGAAAAGGATGCCATGAAGGCATATAGAGCTGCCCATGAGGAAACTGACAATTCCTCTGATGAACATGTAGATGATGAGGTCTCTTCAGCACTCATAAATAGGGTAAGATGCTCGATAGTTTCCGTCTTTTTGCAAGTATATAATATTTTATATATGGTAAAACTCACACACACTCCTAACCTTTGGTGAGGCTTGAACCCTTTACCTCCAAGGAGGGTGGGCTCTATCGGTAACTCGGGTACTGACATATATATATATATACGATGATCCATACTTAGGTTGATGCTATGCTACAAAATCTTGAGAAAGAAATTGATGATGTAGATGCAAAGATTGGTGATCGTTGGCGAGTGCTTGACAGGTAAGTAGTTTTCTTTTCTTTCTTTTTCTCTACATATTTTCGATCACAATTTTTAAATTACCTTGAATAGCTTGAGGGCAATGAGATGACCAGTCGGACTTGGATGCACCAAGAAGTTCCCCAAATGATTTTTAGACTATTTCCTCGTTTTTGAGTTAAGGTGCTAGTTCCTAAGAGGGCTAGTTTTGCATAATAATGTATTCTTGATCAAAGAAGAGATGGGCCAGTATTTTGTAAATTATTGGCAAATTATATTTTAAAACACGATATGCCACATAATAGTGGGAGGATGTCTTCCACCCTCCCTCTATTGCAAAGTAGTAGCGGTAAGAAATGGAAGGTATAAGGGGTAGATTAGTATCATCATTAGTCTGAACCCGTCACACTTCAATAACTTTGGATCAATACTAAAAGCCGTCTTCCTATTTCATTTCTCTTAATGACCCACTGAATGGTTTAGCCACTTATTCATGCAAGCATGATATTATCTGCATGAGTCTTGATGGGTCATTTTGCCACTTAATGGTTCATACATACTGGTATGTTTAGACCGTTCAGAATCTTAATCATTCGATACTTGTTCATTTAATTAAATCAAACACCACCTTACTCTTCTCTCATTGATTCATCTTCCCAAACCCTTCAAAAGGTTATTTGGCAACTTTCCAGAAACTGAAAAGTTCATAAAGCACATTTCAGTACTTGCACTTTTTGACCACCGTCTGCAAAGTGTTTTTAAAAGGTTCCCCTGCTTTGGCACCTAACTAGCTGCATTAGGCTAAAAATGGATCCAAAGGCAATTCGAAGCAAGAAACACTTGAGACAAGTATTCTTCAAAAAGGGTATGACGCCACTCTCTGGAACTCCCCCGCATTGGTCTTACAGCCATCACGGGGAGGTAACTCAGTTGCCCTAGGGACAGGTGCCTAGAGTCGAACACTGAACCTCCAACTCATTATGCAAGGATGCCCACCTTCTTACTGCTAGGCTACAGCCATGAGGACGATTATTTTGCACATTGTAAAGCTGTGATCTATCAGATGTGTCACTTGCAAACATGTCATTTAATATATTCTTGTGTTTTTTTTTCATCATGCCTTTTTCCACCGATCTACTTTATAGCATCACATGGTTTGATGTTTATGCAATATTTACTTGTAGTATGGGCCCTGATTGCCCCCTCTACCCAAAAGAAACGAAAAAATGTAAATAGCTCCTCATTCTAAAAAGAAGTCCATTTTACTAGTTCCCTTGTCCCAGAAAGAGCCCTGATTGTCCCCTCCACCCCCCAAAAAAATATACAAAGCATTTTAAAGGGCAGAAGCTATTTTACAAGTTCCATCGTCCCAAAAAAGTCCTACATCAGAATTTGATATTAAGGGCCAAGGGGTCGTTTACCAAACGCTGCTTACGAGGAAGAGTCACTACCCTTGCTTACCTTATCGGGTAACATTCTCAGCCATCAAAATGATTGTTGGTAAGCATCTTTTACCCGGTAAGCGCTTACCGGGTACTAGTCTTCTTCCTCACTAATTGTGTAAGATTCTCGGTCCTTGCTATTCCTCTTACCGGGTAAGATTCTCGGTTCTTGCCATCCTCAATGGGTTAGGTAAATGAAACCCGGTAAACACTTTTTACCTAGCATTTCGTAAATGGTCCTAAGACAAATTTGTACTTCTCAAATTTCCCTTTATTATTTCAAGATTGGAAGGGGGGGGGGGGTCTTGATTTGCATTTTATCAGATGTGAAGTTATCCAAAAAGATAATTCCTTAAAGATTTTAAACAGTTTCTTTTTGGGGCATGATGGATGGAGCAACTGCTTTGTATTTGGATGCTTTAAAATATCACATTTGGTGTTAGATGATTTTATGTATTGGTGTTCATTTCATGTCATAATTACTGCAGAGATTATGATGGAAAAGTGACTCCTGAGGAAGTGGCATCTGCTGCCATGTACTTGAAAGATACTTTAGGCAAGGAAGGGGTTCAAGAGCTCATCAGCAACCTTTCTAAAGATAAGGGTTAGTAATCTGCTCCTCTTACAATCTTTTGCAACATTTGCATCCTCTATATAGGGTTCATTTGTATATGAAGTGTTGGAATCCCACATCCGAGCCATCAAACCTGTATATATGTAGCAATCTTCCATCTCTCCATGAAGGGCTCTTTTAGACAGATCTAAAGGGGTTTCACATATCCTCACATGGTATCGGACCAGGGTCTACCACATTTTAGGGACTTGACACACCCTTTCTCCTCCGTTCTAGGGGGCACCGTCTAGCCTGTGTTTGAAGAGCATGTTGGAGTCCAGTATTAGCTAGACACATACATCGAACCTGTATACATCTAGGGTGTGTTTGGTACGCGGGACAGTATAGGACAAGGCAGAACAAAAACTTGTCCCACGTTTGATACAACAGTTAGACTAGGACTGGACCGGACTGGACTGAGCGGGACAGAAATGCATTTTTTCTGTCCCACCAAATTAGGTAGAATAAGCTTGGTAAATTACTAAACTACCCATGTTAAATTAGAACTCTAAAACCTTCCACAATTCTTTCACTTGCCTACTCACTCTTGCCTTTCTAGACTGGTCCCGTCCACATACCAAATGCACCCGGTAGGAGCCTTCCCCCTCTCTGTTTTTATAAGGGCTCGTTTGGAGAGTGATCAAAAGGGTTTCCCTTATCCTCACAAAAGCTAGCGAATATTACTAGGACTACAATGTTGGTTTGGTGCTCATGACTTGTATTCATCTTGTGGCTTTACAGAGGGAAAGATTCTAGTGGAAGACATAGTGAAGTTGGGTAGTCGTTCGGAAGAGGCTGATTGATTCTTAGCAAAATCCGGGTGATGGTATTCTTCCGTTATCACTTGGAACCAGCGTACGGCAATCTAATAGCAGAACTTCACGAGTGTCATTTACGGATTTTTGCATCATGTAGAGGCTTCATAGTCAACTATACGTCCTTCATCACACTCTGTAGCGATTAAAGTGTTGACATGCCAATTTTTATCGGCTCATACATTAAAACCAAGTGACTGAATTTTGTAAAGTAGTGCTCAGATACGAAAGCCGAACATATATGTATGCAGGATGCAAACATAAAATAATCTTCTTGCATTCATCTAAGCTTCATGGAGTTTCATCAATCCACAATGGATTAAGCCACCCTTAAACCGTTTGTCGTGTGAATTAAGCCGTCTATAGAAGCGGTCCAAGCTGTTCATTAATCCACAATGAGTTAAGGGGCTGTTCGGTAATGGTTGAATGGGCTGTTAAGCATGTATGGTTTATTCGGTCAGTGATATAATGTTGTTCGCTTCTGGCTTATTCGGTCGGGCGATGGCTTAACCGGTCAGCCAGAAAAGTGGAGTCCTATGGACTCAGCCACTTATTCAACCATTTATTCCAAATCTACTCTTTCCCTCTTTTCCCCCAAAATTGCACCCTTCATCGTCAACCTCGTCTTGTTCAACGATCCATTCCTTGTAAAGAGTCCCAACTCCCTCCGACCACCACTGCCACAACCACCCGTACATTTTCAAACTCATCAGTCAAACAGAACACAGAAGCATCAATTTCAATTTTCAAAGCCCTCTCGGCCGCCGTCCCCCTTCTCCCTCCTAGCAGCAGCAAACGTCGTCGCTTGAACGCCGCCACCGGCGACCGTTGTTCGCCTGAGACCCAAGCAGTAGCAACAACGAGCTATTTCTAGACAATAAGTCATTTGTTGTTTTTATTTAAAAAAAAATTTTTAAATTGATATTTTTATATAATTACAAGTCAATTGTTCAACATTTTCATCAAACTGTTGTTTTATTCAAAAAAAAATAAAGACCGGAGGTAAAATGGTAATTTCTGACATTCAGAGTGTTTATTCAGCACATCAACCGAACACTTTATCTGTTAATATACAGACAACTATATCAATACAGACAGCTATATCCATACAGGACTTAACAGAAAACGGCCCCTAAGTTGTCTGTAGAAGCATTTTGGTATGACCGTCTGTATGAATTAAATTAAGTTATCTGTATTCTGTAGAAGAATTTTGGTATGACCGTCTGTATGTAGAAGCATTTTAAACAATTCAAAGAATGCAAATCTATCACGCAAGGACATGGCATGGAGTAAAATAATTTAACTCAAAAGTGTACAAGAAGCCCAAGTATTGGATAGAAATACTCTCAACTTATCATCACATTCACATGTGATTATTAATTTTGGACAGGAAGAAAAACTGCTCCAAAATCTTCTATCCAAAATTTATACAGATGGTCAAGGGTCAGCCATTGCAATCAAGCAACCCGATCTCGGGCTAACTAGTCCGAGGTCGGGTCGTCTTTACCATCAGGTGAGCCAACGTGCCGCCTTCCGTTGAACCAAGGAAAAGCGGACGGAAGAGTCTGGCTCATTGGCATGCTGACTGTGGTTCTCTCGTTGATCTTTCCGACTTCCTTGCAAACTTGATCAAGAACGGTCAAGAAGTCGCGGACCACCATGAATATCCTCAAAGGTTGAGCTTCTTCCATGGATGAATTCCCATGAAAGTACTCGGTAGTTTCTTTCACCATATAAATCAATAGTTTCTCTTTAGCTTCAATCTTGATTATATCGTCCTCTGCTTTCTTCAAAAACGTATTCATGGAGTCGGAGAATCTCCCGTCTGAAACATATTCTTCATCGAGAGTCACCGCTTCACGAATCTTGGTTATGCCCATGGTTATCCTCCTTACTTCCTTGGAAAGCAGATCGGAATCCATGACGGCGGCTTTCTTAACGCTCGAGAGTTCGCCACCAAGGCTCAAAACGACTTCGAGTCCACGCTTCCGGAACTCGACCTCATCACAGAGTTCCGATTGCTGGTTAATTTGTGTCGTGAAATCAAGATTATTAGCCCCCCAAAGCCGACACCCTTCTGCTCTTATGATCTCCTGCACAACGAAATGCAAAAGTGTCGTTTTCCCATCGGTGCCTTTCACGTCCACAAGTTTGAGGAGAGTGTCGAGCTTAAACGCGTAAGCATCCCCACGGTTTGTTCCGATATTCATGCGGTTTCCTGCCTTGAGTGCGGCTTCGAGAAGCTTCATGAACATTCTGCTGTTCCTAAGTTGTTGACAAGCTGACTAAGAATTCAAGAAACGAAACAAGCGGTTGGTTTCAACACAAGTAGCAACGATTTATCAACTTCCATGGATGCAAACACTACAAAATCGACTTGCGTTAAATATGTCCAAATGCCACAAGGGGATTTTTATTCCTCCTTGGATTTGAACCTGGGACCTCCAGATACTTTTGACCTTTGGAGCCAAACTCAAACTAATCAGGCACCACTCTTGTGGTTTATAAAGTTGATTTTGTTGCAGTGACGGAAGCAAAAGGTGTTATACCTCAATTGTTTCGAAGGACCTCATAAGGTAATCGATCTCGACATCAAAATTCGATATGTAAAGCATGGCATCGACCCTTTTGAACGCAAACGGTATATCGATAACGGCCTTGAGAAACTTTTCGGCAGGACCGAGGTTGAAGGGAGATGCATCCTTTAGTTTATCTTCTTCCTCCATTGTTGGAGCCATCTTCAACAAGCTCCCCAGTAGTTCTGAACCTAAGGTGTCAACATTACCTGCTTATATAAAAACAATCACACATATCGAAAAGATGTTACAACAAAATCGGCTTTATAAGGTACAAAAGACGCTTAAATGTCTTAATAGATTGTTCTTTATAGGACTTAAAAGTTCAATGGATCAAACATTTGTACGTCCGATTGACTAAATTACAATTTTCGTCCCTGTGGTTTGTCAACAATTTCAATTTCCGTCCCTGTGGCATAAAAGTCACGGTATTTTTCTATGGTTTGTGATTTATTGTTATTTTTACCTTTTAAGTACAAGAACTAAAACAGTAAAAAGTTGTAAACAAACATTAATAAAAACACGATTAAAATGGTAAGATGATAATAAGCAGTTTTTCATAAGTCATTAACTTGTCAAAAACTGTTCATTACCAGTTTGGCACAGTATAAAGAGTTTTATTTTTCTACATCCAAACACTTATATTTAACTTATCACTGGTGTGAGACTAAAATAAATAAAGAAACCCTTAAAATAAACAATACTAAAATAAATAAAGAAACCCTTAAAATAAACAATCCCAAACATCCCGAGTGTGGTAATACCTTGAAGAATACATTCACAGACTTCATCAATGGTCAAGTTAAAAGCCCTTAATAGTATAGCGATGTTCCTGGACTTGTGTGTGTCAAGAACCCGGTTCTTTTGGTTCATATCTGCAGCCATGGCGACTCCCCTCGCTTGATTGCTGCCATGATTTGCTGGCAGTTTGGACGAACTCGCCATAAACAACGTCTCTATCATTTCTTCATTTAACCTATATGTTTTCCCAATTAAATGCAGAAATTAAAGAACTCTTAACTGAAAAAGATTAGCAGAAAAGATGATGAATCTCACTTAAAAGAGTTGGATTTCAACTGATCCCACACTGTTGCTCTCTCTGAGCTTGCTCTCACTTTATCCCAATGTAAAGCCTTCAACTTTGGCTTCAAAATCTCTTCTTTCCTTTCCTCATTCTCCGTCGGATTCTGTACCTCCGCCGCCGTTGCTCCAGGTGGTCGTTCTCGTTCATGGAGACTCGATTCTTGCACCGGGAAATGTGTTTCTGAGAACCCAGGTGGCGGCATTGGTGGTGGTGGCGGTGGAGGTGGCAACTTCACGACCGTCGTTGAGTTAGAGCTTCTTTCATGGAAGTTGTGTGGTTCCGTAGCTTCAAAGACGACGGGGAACCCTTTTGGAGAGAAGAATTCGTGATCGTCGACGTCGGTGTCGTCGGTGAAAGAACAGTCGTCCAGGTTCTGGTGGTGGTGACGGAAACCGTGTCGGGGTAATGGCGGGAGTGGATGGAGCTCCGGCGATTCCATGGTGGAGGCTGCGGAGGCTGCATTGGTTTGCTTTTGGTCGTGTATGGGGCTAACGAGTGTACCAAGATAAAGAAACTCTGAGCTGGGGGTGGAGAAGTTGTCGGGGAGAGTAGGAGGAGGAGGTGGTGGCTTGTCGGAGGTGGGGAGGTTAGCCGGAAACAACCGGAGACTGTCTGAAGATGGTGGTTTACGATTGTGGTTCCGGTGGTACAAGAGGGAGGCAGCCACCGCTGCTATAAAGGCGATAGAAAGAAGGGAAAGGGCGAGAGAGAGGAAGAGAAGTTTTCTGGAGAGATGGGATTTGGAAGAAGATGATGATGATGGTGGAAGGATGATGGAAGAGATGTTGGCCGGAAAAGTGGGAAGAGAGGTGGAAGGGACGGTGGTCGGAGAAGAAGGAGAGGTGGAGAAAGGGAAGAAACGGTGGTGGGAAGGAGTAGGAGGTGGTTGGGAAGAGAAAGGGTATTTGGGTTGTGGAGAAGGAGGAAGGGAAGGTGGTAGTGTGGTGGTGGAAGGAGGAGGAGAAGAACCGGTGACCGGAAAGAATGGTTGATGGAGGATCCGGCGAGAGGAGGAGAGGGAAGTGAGGAGGAGGAGTGGCAGTAGGAGTAGCTGCAGCAGGGTGATTGGACTCATTTAAAGTTATAATTGCAGATGTATGCTTATTATTGAGATTTCATATAGCGAAGGTGCATAAAACAAAGGCAGCAGCTTCAAGAGAGAATTTAGGGGTAGCTCAAAATCTTTAATGGAAGAAAACACCACTTCAACTGTATGTTTTGTTATATAATTAAAAGAAAACATCACAAGGTTGGTGGCATTCAGGGTATCTCTCTCTCTCTCTCTCCCTCTCTCCCTCTCTCTCTCTCTCCCTCTCTCCCTCTCCCTCTCCCTCTCTCCCTCCCCCTCTCTCTCTCGGTACAGGTATCGGTAGAACCCTAATTTGTATCGAGAAACGGCGGTCATTCGTAATACGAACATAACATATTCATCAAGAATATGAACATGATATTCATCATCAACGTGTGATTCATAATGACACCATTCTCATATTTATTATTAATATATAACATTATTCGTTATGAAAAAGGACGTGGGATTAGTGTTCGGTTTGTAACAAAACTACCCTCTATAGAGAGAGAAAGAAAGGAGAGAGAATTTGAAGAAGCAACATAAACAAGTGTATGTCACGACCTGTTTGATAATTGTTGAATGGTTTGGTGCATAATGATTAAGTGGTTAGAATGATTAAGAGGCTCTCGTGATATAGTGCAAAATAAAATATAATTGTTTGATAATTATTTACAACAAAATTAGAGCTCTGAATGATTAAGGGAGATCTATGATACAAAATCATTCAAAGAGTTTTAGGCATCATTAAGAGACAAATTTTTTTTTTTGTTAAACAAGATTCACCTCTTAACGATTTAGAGATTGCCTCTTAATGGAACTATTAAGAGGTAAACAAACAACCATTAATTGTGCAAAGCAACTGTAAAGCTAATAAAAGTGGTAAAAATATATCGATCAAGACACATATGTGTCATGTTGGTAGGTTGTTGTCCTTTTGATATTATGAAATGCATTTGTAGTATATGTATAATTGATATCTGTAGGGTTTTAATATATTCATAAATAAGAAACAATAAGAAATTAAATTAAACAAAGCATGCCATTTTGAAGGATCGTATTTATTCTGGACATTTAAGACCAAAGGTCACGACATCTACATTGATTACGATATAATCAGATAAGTTATGATTGATATAAATGATCAAACATTACCATTTGAGTGTAGCAAAATCAAACTTGAACAAAGACGTGCATCAAGTCTAAGAAAACCGAGCCCAACTGAGTACACAACCAAAAGAAACCGTCAAAAAAGTAAAACGAAGCACTCTAGATTAAAATATGGTCGAGACCCGAACATACAAGAGGAAGAGGAGCTAACCACCAATAACTTGGCCCTGCACCTATCCGACCAAGAGAATCTGAAACTGTTAGCCCGCTTGGAGATCCAATTGAACACGATAATAAAGATTTAATTATATTATAAAGTAGATTAATACACTAATCAGATAAATAATCCGGACCACGAGCTTAAAATCTATTGGACATGCTTTAAAGCCCGCAATGAGAAATCATAGTTTAAATAGAACATTGAACTTTGATCGGGATTTAATAAAAAAACAAATCGGTCTCCCATTTGTGCCCCTTTCTTGGTCCCTCCTTGACGTTAATGTTCCAACACGATCAAGAACACTACAAATTCTTCCTTTTTGTATGATTGAGATTGAATTTGGAGTACTCGAATGGATACCAAGCTCGAAGATACAGTTGAATTTTTATCTTACATGAACGGTTTCAAACAAAAGGGTACAAATTTAAAGACCCGGTTTACGTAGAGTCCCGTTTGGTTTGCGGGATTTAGTGGGATTTGGAATTGAATTTCATTATAATCTCATGTTTGGCTTAAAAAAAAAGTCTTGGAACTAAAATCCTTCAAACATGTGATGTAGAAATCTCATGAAAGTAGTTGATATTTCATGGGATTTATTTGTAATAACGTGATAAAATATTTTAAAAAACAGTCATTCTGTAGTAATCAATTAAAGGAAGTAATTTAATTGTGTTTATAATTATTATTTTTAACTTGTTTTATAAATTATTTTATAAATAACGAAATTTACTTTCATTCCAGATATTTGAGATTTTTCTCTCTAAGGGGTCGTTATCCAAACACTTACCTGGTAAGTGCTTACCTGTGAAATGTAACACTATCATTTACTCACCGCATAAGATTTTTGTTCACTAAAACGACATTGTATGCAATAATTTACCCGGTAAGCGCTTACCATGGTAAGAGTTGTCGCCCTCACTTACATGGTAAGACTCTTGGTCCTTGTCTCGCTCTTACCGATTAAGATTTTTTTGGTCCTTATCATATTCATCCGGTAGGGTAATGTAACTTGGTAAGCGCTTGTCCGAATAAACATTTGGTAAACTCCCCCTAAATATGATCTCGAAATTCCAACCACAATTTTAGTAGATATCTTACTCAGTTTTCCACCACCACTCGTCTAAAGATTTCAAATCCTTCTATGAAGTTTTAATTATATTATGCAAGTTTAGAACTTTTATGCAATGAAAGGGATGATATTTGTAACTTTGAACAAAATATAGGGACTAAAAATGTAGTTTACTCTAACGTAAGTAAATGGAGAAGGCCTCTGACATGACCAGCAACAGTAACAATCTTGGGATATTCAAATCTCTGTCCGCAATACTCAATAATTGCTCATCAAACAATTTTCTTAATTTTACTAAAATATTTATTTTTTTATTAACATGTATATTCAACCCGTTATGCGAGCTGATTAATTTTAGGACAATCATCTATTTTGTAGATAGTTTGGAGTCACCACATTTGAACCTTTTTGGCCACAAGAAGATTTTTATTCCCCCTTGAATTTGAACCTGTGACCTGATGGTATTTTTAACCTTTGGAGCCAAACTCAAACCTCTATTTAATTTTCATAAAAAGATGAAGTATTTATTTTTCTTTGACTATATAAATTTGGTCCTTTTGGTTTGTTGAAAATAATAGTTTTCGTTCTTGAAGTTTTAAATTACACGATAACCATCGTGATTTGTAAAAATCTCTCTCTTTCGCTAACGATCATTAAAAATTTCGTTAAACAAGAGTCTTTTTCGTTATTTTATCAATTCTTTTGTCTTTTACTCAGTCAAAATCGATTCTATATTTTTGGTCCTTGTTATTTTTGATTGGGTAAAAGACGATTTTTTTTTGTCTCTCGTTTGACGGCCTTTAGAGAAAGAGACCAAATTCAAATGTTTTTTTGAAAATTATGATAACTATATACTAATTTCGAAATTATAAGACAAAAAATGTTACTTTTACACACCAAAGGGACCAAATTTGTGATTTACTATTTTTCTTTTTACTGACGGTGGGGCCCTTCTCTTAGCATGATCACGTGACCTATTATCATTGACAAGAATGCTCAGAAACTTACTGCTTCTTCTTGTTGGATCCCATTCTCACCATCCACCGACTTGCCAAGAAAACAAAATTTATCCTTTTAAAAGATTAATTATTAATTATAAAAAATAAATAAATATTTAAAATAACCGGAAAAAAAAACAACAATAGAATAGAAAGAAGAAAATTTTAAATCTCGTTAAGCATAAACTTTTTATATAGGGATGAGTTATAAGTAGATAATTATGAAAGATATCAGTTCTAATCTATCTCTAATATGTTCATCCTTATCTATATCTATATCTCTATCGTCATATCCTTTAGACGTGACACATTTACCCTACGTTAAAATAAAAACCCAGTGAGAAAAAAATAAAAATAGAAGGAAGAAATAGTACAGTGCACGAGTTTCTTTGCAATATTTAGACTTTTACTTTAGTCTAACATTCTCTCATATTCGTAGATTAATCATGAGAGTTAGGAAAGTAATGTGGTATATAAATTGTTGTCTCACTAAAACCTTACACCAAAGACTGCTAGCCGAATGCACTTTGTCCATATTAAATTGACTGATCATTTTTTGGACATATGTGGATTGGTGAAATAATATTCTACAAACTCGTTGTCCTAGCTCAAATAGCTAGATAAAACCAAGTTTTCCCAAGATCTTTCATCTGACATTTAGATTTCAAGTAGCTTATGGTTTCTTTTATTACATCAAAAGTGCTTATTATGCTCATAATATCGACATATAGAGCTACGATTGAAATTCTAGAACTCATTTTTCTTTATATATGCACAAAAGCACGGTTCATCGTTCTTATATTTCTTCCTAATCAAGTATTTACTTAGGCGAGTATAACACATTCGTCTAGATTGTTTCAATCTATAAAGTGAGCGTTTCAATTTTATTGTAAAATGCACTATATGGTTTAGAGTTACATGATTTGAGTAATGTAATGTCATCAAACACTTTTATATATCTCTGAATCTAGATCCCCGTAGAGATATGTAGTAACCACATTATTGAGTTGCATTTCCAGTCCTTTGGGAACTACTAGGCTAATTAATTAACATAACATTATAACGTCCATCACGAGAGAGTAAGTCTTCTCTAGTCCATCCAGAATGTCGTGAAAAAACTTGTGCCAAATGAGATCCTTATACATTATGACTTAATTATTTTCATCACTCTTTCTGACAAATGATTTATCTATGCCTTACGTGCTTTACACTTGGTGGGTTAGCACTGCTTGACAAATACCCGTTCATTTGTCAAATAGTATAATTTCTTGGATTGCTTCTTTTCATTTAGGTCATATTTGCTCTTTGTTGACATTTTTCAGCAGAGCATGGTTCAATGTCATCGTGCTTAATCGTCTTATGGGCAACAATATATGCAATATATCATCAATGAGTATGTATGATCTGTCCATTGACTCATATGCACTCTCATAATTCATTTGAGATTTCTTTGATTTCTAAAATCATATTAACTTCAGAGCGCCATGCAATAGTGATTCATAGACATAGTTTTAATCAGAGACAATCTCATGAAAGGTTTATGTATTGATGACTATTGTTTGTGTAAACAAATTGGATAAGTGTTAATTAACCCGTAACTGTATAGGCTAGCGGAGGTCAGGGGTTCAAACCTCACCATAGGTGAGGAGGGTGTGTGAGTTTATTTGTTGCATTTGCCGTATATAAATATTATATACTTAAAAAAAAAAACTGTATAGGCTAAGTTGGTATTAATTACAAAACTTTCATTTAACTATTATTTATCAGCAAGAGACATCGTTAGTTCGTTACTTACTTTACCATGTAATATTTTCGGTCATTAAAATGGAATGTCGATAAACGTATTTTAACTCTTAAAACATTTACAGGGTAAACATCTTCTCCCTCTCTTGCCAGGTAAAATTTTCGTTCCTATTATGCCTCTTACATATTAAGATTGTAGATCCTTGTGAATTGCAATGCTCACCCGATAAGGTGTAAATGGCACCCGGTTAGTGCTCAACTAGTAAAGTAAGTGAATCGGTAAACACTTACGCAGTAAGCGTTTGGTAAACGACCCTAAAAGTCTCTCCCTTTACTTATTAGGTCAGTATCATCAATCTGTAAGAGGGACTTAATAAACGAACATCAATATCTTTGACCGGATAAGTACCTCTTATTCGGCCAGACCCATAAATGATCCATTGGAATAATCCATTGGGTCTCCCAACATCAGTAGGTTGATTGTTTTGTTCCTGTATTATCCAAAAAGAAAAAAAAAAGATCAATGAGAGTTCTTTCCTGAATCAAAAAGAGAGTACTTGGGTTCTCCAGGTAACTAAAAAATGTAACATGCCTGAATTTAACTCTGTTTAGCGGGATTATTTCAGCACGAGGGTTCATCTGTGTCCGATTCTATTAGTAATAATGGAACAATCTTGTTCATAGGAACAAAGAAAAGCAAATTTATTCTATACTCGATAAGTACCAGATGCAATGGGGAGGTTAATGCCATTTTATACGATCAAATGCAACCATACTTATTCATCATAAGAGGAAACCATGGATTTTTCAGATTGCGCCATTGGTTACTGGTTGAGCTCGGAATGGAATGATATAAGAGTCTTTAGGGATCTTTTCTCTCCAATTACGCATAACAAGGTTTTACCTTTGCAAATGATTTAGGGGCCGTTTACTAAACGCTTACCCGGTAAGTACTTACCGACTAATTTTTTTCACCGGATACGGATGAACATGGCAATTGGCAAAGGCCAAGAATCTCACCCGGTAAGAACGATGATAAGGATGAAGAGTCTTACCCGATAAGTGAGGGTGACGACTCTTACCCGGATAAGCACTTACTAGGTAAATTGTCGCATGGGATACGTTTTGATCTACTACAATCTTACCCAATAAAATAAATTATAGTGTTGACTTCTAACGATAAACACTTATCGGTAAGCATTTAGGAAAACAACCCCTTATTCTGAATAATATAAATAGAAAATTGATTCCTTGATCTCACCATTTTTCTAGTTGTTCTCGCAAACAAAGTGATCATCCTTCCTATCATTTGCCATTTGGCAGGTGATAAACAACCCCTCACTGTAACATATTATTGTATCTGTAACAAATACTTACATACATATATATATATATATATATAGTCATATACGATATATACATAAATTATAGGGGTTTAAACGAGAACACCTTCATTTTACGAGAACGTCAAAATATCTATTTACACCGTTAAGCTTCTTTCACATGTATTATCACACGTGATAAGAGTGTTTTTGATGTGATACTATAATTCATCAAGATCATCACATGTGATACTAAATCATAGACGCATATGATTTTTGGCACGACCTAAGTCGCAACCCACGTCGTTCGCACACCACCAGATCCCTTCACATGTATCATCACATGTGATAAGGTAAATATTATTTTTAAAAACCATATTTGAAAATCTCATTTACATGTTTATAATTTAATTTTTCTTTTTTTTTAAACGTATTTTTTTTAATTATAAGCAATTAAAATGATATTTTTTAAAATAACTAATAAGACCTAAGGCGAAAAATCTTGCGTCTTCACCTTTAATCTCAAATTCACTCATAAATCGTGTTTGATATGAGGATTGATCTACTGCATCTCATCTTAATATGAATATAAAGATGTTATTTCTACTAACGCTTCTTATCTTAACTCTATTTCTCACCGGAAGGGTGAACCCAATCATAAAAACTAAATTCAAATATACATTTATATGGGCTGTTTTTTCATTCAGAGCCCAATCCAAACCCATATTAAAAGGGAGATTAATGGGTTTCTTATTCATTCAGAGCCCTGATCTGAATTGGCAGAGTGGTTTTTTCTCCATCGTCTCCGTCCCCGTCTCCGGTAGCCTCCATCGTCTTTGTCTCCAGGAATCCATTTAAGATGAAAATCAGTTGGCTAAACTCAAAAACCACCAGCGAGTTTGGGTCATTTGACCGGTAGGGTTACGATTTTTGCAAGACTTGTGGGGAATTCAAAGTCGGAAGGCACGAATTCAACAAGTCACTGAATTCATTTTCTCAGAAAGTCGAGTGGACAAAAGCAAAAGGGATCATTCATATTCTGCATCTCTCTATCTACAATCAGGTATTTCCCTTAATCGATCTCCTCCCAAAGTTCCCTCTGTCAATTTTTACGATTGTGATTTATGCTTAGGGCTGTGTAGATACAATCTGTTAGGCAATGAACCCCTTGATTACTGTAGGCAGTGGCTGTGTTGCCACTTGAACACAACCATAGATGGAAGGCACAAAAAGATTTTGGTAATGAACAGAGACTTGGAAATTTTGTGAAGATGCCCCCTTTTCAGGAAAGGTATAAGTAAAAAAGAAATGAATTGGATGAGCAGATGCTTTTGGTAGCTAAGAGGACTCTTTCAAGAATAAAAACCAAGTGAAATAGGGAGGATTAAGACCTGATAAAGAGCAACAAGATCTTTTTGAGTAACAGCTGATAATATGATAGCATTGCCTAAATAACCAGAGATCAACACATTCACTTTAATCTCTACCCAAATGAACTAAAACCAAACAAAACCAACCAGGTATGGATACACCAAAGAAACAGCTGATAATATGATAGCATTTCCTAAATAATTGTTTTATTCAGATATCTGCCAAACAAATATATTTCATTCAGTACTAAATCATACAGAGGGTTAAAATGGTAATTTGTTGTCATTCAGATAACAGTTACCAAACAACATTATTCCATTCAACACTTAACCATTATGGCCCTCTTAATCATTCTGACCACTTAACCATTCTGCACCAAACCATTCGGCAACCGCCAAACAACGAATCCAGAACGCTCTGAATCGTTGGTTTCTCCCCCGATTCCCCTTCTGTATCTCGTCTTCTAGCAACTGGTATCTCTTGCTGCTATTGCTCAAGTCACTCCTATCAATCTCAGTTATGTGAACCCCTTGTTTATTTCTAGGTTTGAAACAATGGTTTATGTGATTTCTTTGGTGTTTTGAAACAATGATTCATATGTTGATGGATATTTAATGTGTTATTATGTTTAGGTATAATTATGTTTGTGTGTCTTCAGATTTCCTTTCAATATCTCTCATTTTCATTTCTTTATTGCCCATATTGTGTTCCAATATTGGTTTAGAGGTGAAGGTGAACCCCTTTCAATGGTCGATCGGGGCTGTTTTACGAAACATTGATGATACGATTCATCTCAACAATTAGGTGCTTCATCTTCTGTGCAGCAGCAATTCTTCGAATTTGAATACTTGCATGAGTAAGTACATCAACCTCTTCGAATTGCTGGTTTCTTCGATTTCTTTGTATATGAGTTGCTGGTTTGTTGAATTTGTCTTGCCTCGGTGTTAATTTCGATTTCTTTCAACTCCACAAGTGCCTGGTCTTGTTATTCTCGTTTCAGATTGTTGATGATGAGTTGATTTCGAGATTCAATGAAATCGAATCGTTTGAATGTGGAATTTGTTAATTTTGAACCAAAAGTTGACAAATCGCATGTTCATATGTACCCATTTGAAAGTTTGGCATGAATAAGAACGTAGTTGAAAATGTCGATTCTTGAGTCCTAACTCGGGCTCCCCCACATCGACAACAGACAATGACCCTGCTCTGCTGCTCCTCCGATTGATTCCTGGCTCCCAGAGTGACAGGCAACAGCTTCCCTCTGTCCGCAGCGCAGCTCCTCCTCAATCCCTCTCAATGATCGCTCACAGCCCTGTCTGCTGTCTGTGCCTACTCCTGGTTTTTCACCTTTCCTGCTCGGTTTGGGTAATTGTTTGAACTTGAAATCAGGCATTTGTCTAAACTTTCTATGGTTGGGCAATTGTTTGAAATTTGAAATTGGGCGCAACTTGAAAAACCACCTAATGATTTGTGTTTTTGATACACTAAAGCATTTGATTCCTATCACAGAATTACCAAATTTGTAAATTGTGGCACAGGTATATGCATTATGCTCAGGCCTTTTAGAACTTTGAGTTCCACACTTGTTTTGCAATACACAAAGTGAATCACTAGGGGATCCCACACTTTTAATGAAAAACATAGCTGTTTGAGGAGAAGTGAGATGGGAAGTTGCCATTGTGGCCTGTGAGATTAAGATTTACATCAGGTCCATTTGAACTACTTTGCTGATCCTTGTTTGGTATTATAGCTATTCTACTTTGTTGATCCTTGTTTGAAGTACTTAATAGGTTTTTGCTGGTCCTCTTGTTTGGTATTATGGCATTGGATTGGCTTGATACAATTTAACTTTTAAATGTAAAAAGTAATGGCATCATATAAGACTGGTCATAACCATAGTTGTAGGACTTTCTTTGGATTGGTGTAATACAATTTGTTTGTTTGTTTATCATTCAACTAATCCTTGCAAGTCTCAAATATAAGGTTATAAACATGGTTGTAGGCACATTCTTTGGTTCGTTTAGGTCATAACAACATTAATTTGAGAAGTGGATCATATATCTACCATGAGGTGTGAGATTGGTTCCACATTATGCAAAACTGGGTCGGTAAGTAGGTTGATGTGCTTATCTTGTATCACACCATCACATGGAGTGCACAGATTCTAGTTGGTATGTTAGAGAGAGGATCAAGTTTCAATTTTTGGAAGCATAGGAACGGATGTAAATACAGTGGTTCATTTAAGCTTGACTTGATGAGTTCATGTCAAGTGAAGTCGAGCTTGGTTTGCATAGAGACAAGCTGATTGCTTCATTAAAACATCTTTATAAATAGAGGCAAACATATTCTTTATGTGAGACCCTATAGGTTTACATACTCGTTGGCGGTATTACTATATGACAAGTGTCGTGGGCAATAATAACTTACAGTTTTTTTTATTTATTTCATATAAGAGGAGTCCCCTTGAGTCACCATCTGTGTTTCTATGTCTGATTGTGATTGGTTCATTCTTTTCGACAAGGATTTAGAATGGACTTCAGCTTTTAATTAATACATATGTACATATGGCAGAGATGAAGAACCCTGGACTATGGTATAGTGCAATTATGGTGCAAAGGTTGATTGGAATATCCCGACACTACCGAGCAAATCCAAAAGTAGATTTGAAGAAGCTGAGACCCATGATCCTCAAACGGATTGAGAATCGAGCCAAAGATTATCCTGTTAAAGCCATGGTCCCTGTCGCCTATGATGTCCTAAGGTCCCGAACCCTTTTGATACAAGGCGTATCCATCCTTCTCCAAGTAATACCCATCTGGTCTTGCAAGTATTCTCCATCTCTCGCTCACTGCTTTTCTTGTTCTATAATTTTTTTCCTTCTGCATCTTGTAATCTTGCTTCGAGTTAAATTGGAATTTTTTCCAATGACATTGAATTTCAGGTTCCAATATGATGTATACTCATATGACTTCCATTCTCAATTTGGTAATTGATTTTCTAAATGGAAAAATGCATCAAAATGCAACAAAGTTTGCATTATTTCTGATAGTGTACATGAGATTTGAACCTTGACCTCCTGGGAGGCTAACTGGTAACCTAGATACTGTTAGGCCAATGACCCTTTGGTAAAATAAAAAAAGATGTAATAAAGTTTCAAAATTTCTTATTTAGACCCATTTTGACCGGTAACTTGTTGATATTGTAACATTTGATGACATGAATATCAAGCTTATCGTCAACTTCGTTGTAACCCTCTGTAAACTGATATCCAAGTCATAAAATTTACAAGATCAGCAGGTTACTGTTCAAAATGGGTGCAAAATAGGAAATTTCAAAGATTTGGTATGTCGATTTAGAAAAAAAGTTCTTTGTTCCACACTTCTACTAAATAGGAATTAAACTAAACTTTATTGCATTTTGATCATTCGGCCCATTTTCTAATTGCAGACTATCTTCATGTGCAGATTCTGTCCAGAAGTGTATATTGGGGAGAAAGGTCATGCAATCAAGACTTGCCATGGTTACAGACGGCATGCCAAGAACAAGGTTCATGAATGGATCAAAGGGGGCATAAACGATATAGTTGTCCCTGTGGACACGTTTCACCTACATAACATGTTTCAGGATGTAATAAAACATGAACAACGGTTCGATTATAAGCGGGTGCCTGCAGTTATTGAACTATGTTTGCAAGCAGGTGCAGATCTTGATGAAGAGGAGGTATCTGCAAACAAGTTGGAGTCTGTAAGTGGTGAATCTTTGTCAAGTGATGATCTGAGGATGGTAGCCGATGGAACTTTGAAGGCATGGGAGGTGCTTCGATCTGGTGTCCAGAAGTTATTGATGGTTTATCCGGCTAAGGTTTGTAAGTACTGTTCGGAGGTTCATGTGGGCCCATCTGGGCATAAAGCTCGTTTGTGCGGGGTTTTTAAGTATGAGAGTTGGCGTGGGACTCATCTTTGGAAGAAAGCTCAAGTGGATGATTTGGTTCCTTCGAAGGTTGTGTGGTTCCGCAGGGCTCGGGATCCTATCGTTCTTCAGGACAAATGGCGGTCTTTTTATGGACACGCGCCTGCCGTGGTGGATTTGTGTACAAAGGGCGGTGCAATAGCACCAGCCAAGTATAATTGCATGATGAAACTGCAGGGATTATCAGCAGATGTTGCATTCAAACATGGAAGATGAGCTTTCATGGTGGGTGTTGTTGAGTTGGACATTAGGCTTCAAGATGCTGCATTTGTTTTTAGTTTTTTTAACCGTGGGTATCTGGACCAGCTTGTGTGCACCTCGACTAATTTCAGGGGATATGGAGAACAACCAGGAAAATCCCTAGTGGCCTTGCTAGACTTAAACCGGTGACCTCAAAAATCCAAACCTTATTGTCAGTTGAGCTAACTATACAATGTCTGTGGAGGCTCAAACTGACAATTTATAGAGAGGAGCTCAAGACCTAGCATTTATTTGACGGTCGAGCGGACGCTAAAATTGATTCTGATTCCCGCACAGGATTGATTATTTATAGGTCGTGGATTGAAGTGTAAAATGGAAATTTTAGTTATTATTATTATTATTAGATTAACTTATTAATTACTAAATAATCGAACCAAAATTGACAGCATGCGCGATGTTGAGGTTCGCATGTAGATTTGTCGTATTGTTGATTTCTACGTCTCATCATAAATGTGTACAATAAAAAAAAGGATGCAATTTTAGAAATATATAATCATCGAAATTTTTAATTACCAAATAACAATCTTACACCTAATAATCAAGGTTCTAAATGGTGTTGTGTGATAGCGAGGTTAAGTCTTAAGCCTTAGGAGTCACGACAATTTTTAAAGAGTGACAGTGGTAAATTTATATATCACATATATAATTATATATATATATATATATATACATGTAAAATATTATTTAATTAAACAATCTAAATTAGATTATATGCTTGAACTAAAAAAAATAAGTAACTACAAAGGTAAAAAAAATCAAATCTCACGCCACGAAGACGCACATTGGCCCATGGCATGCCATGAGCTTAACATGACGTGAGACACGAGCTTTGAGCAACGGCATGCCACTTAGAACACTGCTAATAATTTGGGAAATTTTCACGGTAAAATTGGAAAATAAACACCTATTCTGAAACAAACTAAAATAGAAATATGAATACTTAGGGGTCGTTTACTAAACGCTTACTTGGTAAGTGCTTACCGGATAAATTTTCTCATCGGATGAACATGACAAAGACCAAGAATCTTACCGGATAAGAGTGATGAGAAGGATGAAGAATCTTACTGGTTAAGTGAAGATGACGACTCTTACCCAGGTAAGCACTTATCAGGTAAATTGTTGCATTCGATACGTTTTGATGTACTAAAATCTTACACATCAAAATAAATTATAGTGTTAGACTCATATCAGTAAGCACTTATCGGGTAAGCATTTAGGTAAACAGCCCCTTAATTTATAAAATAGTATTAGACATTAGTGTTGAATCTTGATATAAGGAAGAGATGTAAAGAAGGAAAAAAAGCAAGTGTTTGGATGATGATTAAACAGCAGAGGAGACCTAACAGTAACTGGTATTGGTTGCCAAATGATTCCAGACTTCCAGGTTTATATACAACAACAAACACATAATGTCTCAGTCAAAACAGAATTCAATTACCACACTAATAATAATAATGATGAAAACCACACAACAAACAAACAAACGAACAAACATCGAATCCTCCTCCTCCTCATCCTCACATATGCTGCTGCTGGTATTCGGGATTAAATGCAAGCGCCTCCCGATAAATCATCTCCTTCATTTCCTCCTCGATTAAGGCATGTTGCTCAAAGTCGAAGCTAAATGGGGTCAAACACACTGGTTCATCACTGATGTCGTGCAGTGATGTTAGATACGGATGGGCCAATGCATCTTCAACTGAATAAGAGTAATAAGACCAACCAACGATTACAATTACACACACAACTTGATATAATAATACTCTCCCCGTCTAAAATAAGAGTCTATGTTTCTATTTACGTTTCTAGTTTCAATAACAGATAACAAAATTCTCAAATCTACCCTTAACTAATGCACAAATATTTTAAGGGTTGTGAAGAGAGAGAATTACTCAAGGGTAAAGTTGTCATTTGGTTAACTAAAAAGTGCAATCATATGTATATCTAAAACTGAGTGTCATTTCTATTGTAGACACTTGGAGCATCTCCAATGGTATGTTCTTATATGCAAAAAGTGTAAGAACCTCACATCCTTTAAGTTATTGTACAAGAACCTTGGTTCTTATCTTGAACTTGATGAGAAGTGACATTTTGTTAGTTTTCTTATATATTTTATTGACTTCATTATCATTTATTGATGTTGAAAAAATACATGGGACTCACAAAAGAGGTTCTTATAAAGACTACTATTGTGGACTTCTATTTACATTTTTAATTTGGTGAGTTGGAAGTTATATGGCAAGAAAAAGTACAAAAAGTAGGTTCTTAAGGCTGCATTTGGTACATGAGACAGGACGGGACAAAACTCACTGTACCCACGTTTGGTGAGATATAGGACAGGGACAAGAACTGGGACAAGGTGGGACAAAAAAGACTTTTTCTTGTTCCACCAAAATGTACAAGAATGAGACAAAAACTAAAATATTACCAATTAACCCTCATTTGATATATAACCTTAACATGGTATTTGTTTTAGTGGTCACCACCGCTAGTTGCAGGCGCGGCCACCACCGTCGACCACCTCCACAACCACTGACCACCACCGTCCATCACCACTACCACCGTTGGCCATCTCTACCTTCTCTTCTACTACAACAACCTCCTCCACCTCCACAACCATCGTCGGCCACCGACCACCACTATACATTGCCAGGCCCACTACCACCGTTGGCCACCTTCACCTTCTCCTCTATTATAACCTCCTCCACCACCTCCACAAACATCATCAGCCACCAATCAATACCGTTCATTGCCACCACCATGGGCCACCTCACCTCCACCATAACCACCCTATCAGTGCCCACTACGACCGTCGGCTACCGCTACCGCTACCGCTATCACTATCTACCATATTCACGTCCTCCACAACCACCACCGTCCATCTCCACCACCACTAGTATCGTCGGCCACCACCACCACCACTTCCCACGATCACACCTACCTCCCCACATAGGCCACAACTACCTCCTTTACCACTGTCAACAACCACCACCACCACTATCCACCATCTTCACGTGCTCCACAACCACCATCGCCCACCAATAACTAATGTTTCTGCCTCCACAACCATTGTTGTTGCGACAATCTTTACCGTGCCTTCACCGATTGATAAAGATCTTCCAAACCGAATTAAACATAATTTCTCCATTGTATGCATCAGGTTTTTTCAAACTACCATCAATTATATAAAAAAATTCATTCAAACTTGGTACTATTTTATATTTATGTATATGAAAATTGTGTAAAAATGTTTATAAATTAAATTATTTACTTTATTTGTGTTAATTACAACTATTATATGATATAGAATCATAAAATTACTTTTAGGGGTAATATTGTCTAGTTTTGTCCTATCCAGTCCTAGTCGTACCAAACAGACATTTGTTCTCTTCCGTCCAGTCCTGTCCAATCCTACCCTCTTGTCCTGTCCAATCATGTCTACGCACCAAACGCTACCTAAAAGAACCTCCATTGGGGATGCTCTTATTCTGAGACGGAGGGAGTACCTCTTTCTTATTCAAAAAAAAAAAAAACAAATGATATTCTTCTCACCTGTAATTCTGTGTCTAGGATCAAATGTCAACATCTTTTCGATCAGATCAATAGCAGCAGGATGAACCTGAGGGAATTTTTCAGTGAATGACTGTCGTCGGTACTGAGGTAGTTGTCGGATGTATCTTTTTGCATTTTCATTTAGAAATCCTAATTCCGCTTCTGATGGAGTTCCAATCAACTGCAAGGTTTAAATCAATTTCAAGGTCAAAAACTTGTCAACAAGTAATACGCTCTGCACGTTCTAAACTGAGAAGTCATTTGTCAGGAAACTTGTAGAAAATGTTCCTTGACATTATCATGTTCGACTACGATAAAAGATCTATGCAGATTCTAATATTTGGTTCAAGAACGCAGTTTAATGATAGCAAATATGTACCACAGCACCCCATCCCACAAGGGTTTTTGGGATGTCCTACAAGAAGAAAAAAGGTTCTGTATTTCAGAAGTCCTACAAGTTACTTGTTGCCCTGTATTAAAATATAGAAGAAATCTATTGCAATTACATGAAAACCCAAATCTTGTTTCTCCTGTCATGTGGTTCAATGCTTAGAAAGAAATCCAAGCCACACATCCATTTTTGTTCTTCCCCTACGTATATTGAAGTGTAGAACCTCTCAAATGCAAGAAAAGATGATTAATTTATTCCAAACCCTTCGTTCCTCTGTCCTCTCTCTCTCTCTCTCTCTCTCTCTATATATATATATATATGTATATATATACACACAGTGAGGAGGGGGGGGAGGTTCAAACAAGAACAGTAATCAAACAAGAGAACATGAAAACGGCCAAATCACGTACAAAATCACATGTGATTTTGCACTAACGGTCGATGCAAGGGTGTGCGGGGGTCGTGGCTCGAAACCTCAGGTAACGCCAAAGTTGCATGAATCACATCTGATTTTACAAATGATTTTAGTGTAAAATCACATGTGATTCGACCGTTTTCTTATTCTCTTATTTGGTTACTATTCTTGTACGAACCTGACTATATATCCTGGATGAAATTCCAACTATTGAAACAAAAATCAGCAAAATCTGTTATCTGCAATGCATTGAGTGAAGTAGATATAGCTTGAAAACCCGATACAAGCTAACCTATACATATAAACAATGCGCTCCATGCTTGCTGTAAGTGTCAGCATAGCAAATGAAATATGCCCAAACTAAGGAATTAATTTCATATCAGCAACACAAACTAAGACATGGGTTTCCTATCTTTGTCAGCCATTGACCTATACTATAGACCAGTGGTGGTAGTATGTTCTACTTTTTCCCCAGATTCAATTGGAAAAATCATCATGACAAACTCAGAATATGCAAATACAGGAAATTATTACTCACACATAACCTCAATCAATCATAAGTAGGTTCCCGACTCACCAACTGATGTTAAATGAAATTCAAGAAGCAAGTATGCTTTTTTAAAAGATCGAAGGGAAAAAAGGGAAAACACATGAAAGGAAGATTCAAGTTAACCACAGTTGCTGGAGAATTTTTTATACTAGTTAAATAGAATTGAGATTCACGTTAACCTCTGCTAGTAGAAGAAAATTAAGAAATACCTCCATAAGCAATCGTAGCTGGTGTACGTGATCTCTGCCAGGAAACAAGGGCTTCCGGTCCATCAACTCCATAAAGATGCAACCTACCGACCATACATCAATTGCAGCAGTATAATCAGAAGAATTTAACAATAGCTCTGGTGCACGGTACCATCTTGTAACAACATATTCTGTCATGAAATCAGTTTCAGATGTAACACGAGCTAATCCAAAATCACATATTTTGAGATCACAATTTGCATTCAGGAGAAGATTGCTAGGCTTCAAATCCCTGTGCAGCACATTTGCTGAATGTATGTATTTCAACCCACGCAGGATCTGATACAGAAAGTACTGCAAGAGGAAAAAGAACACAATTAAAGAACCTCATTAGCATGATAAGTATATGTAAGCCATTCAACACAAGCTATCCAATAGTCAAATAACCTTTTCTTATGTCAAGCACCTAATATCTTGGACATTCTTTGTTAACGAGCCTCAGAAACATTCAGAGATGCACCCTAAAGAGAGTTTTCACGGCCAACAAATGGTAAGCTACATCAAACTTGAAGATTTCTACTCCTAAATTCTTATTACCATAACCGAAATCCTACGAGGTATTTGATAGCCTATGCTATTACCACCTACATGAATTAAGATCTTCACCTATAAAAAATTATCACGAACTAGTATGCTTCTAACACTTGTTCCATGTAAGTTCACTTATTGTAATACCTACACATAAATATGTATTTCCATTATCAATATATATATCATACATCACAGCTTATCAAATATATCTACATTTTGAATTGAGAACCTAAAAGGCATTCCGATCAAGTCTGCCCCCATATGCATTGCAAATTCGATATCGACCTAGTCGAATCTACATGCATTTCAAATTAAGACCTTGGTCTTTCACATGCCCAAATCCCTATCTCAAATAACAATGCATCATGAGTTTTGTAAAATTATTTCTGATTTTGCAGGTTATTTGCAACTTAGGGAAAGAGAAACTCAAACCCTCCAAGGTAATCTCTATTTGCCATCTACTTCTTGAACATGTTTCTTTCTTGACTTCCTCTCTTATATACTACATGTTCTTGTTCCTATCAAGGAACCAGGGTAATTTGTCCCATCTAGTACCTCTTATCATATTTTCCCTTTTCTTTTTGTAGCTTTATGTTTAATAAAAAAATATGTCCAGAAGTAAAACAAGGAGACAAAGTGAAAAACAGTTTGCTTATCACAGTGTTTGATTCCTCAACTCAATTGCAGTACATAAATCCAAAGCAAGGAAGCAAATCACCAATGCATTCAATATCAGTTCAAGCTTGACTAGGTGCATTCATCATGCGAAATTTGATAACCATGACAAATAGGCAATAGACACTCAGCTTACATGACGCTAAAATGAGATAGAACAACCTGTAACTGGAAGAAATTATCAATAAAAGAATGAGTGATTATAATATTGTTTAAGACCTCTCCATGTAACTAGAATAAATTATTAATCATAAAGCTACAAAAGGCCTTTGGCCTAGTGGTATCCGGGTTACCAGTAAAGCCCAGCCTCCTAGGAGGTTAAGGGTTCAAACCTCACCAAAAGTGAGGGAGGGTGCCTGAGTTCATTTGCTGTATATAAATATTATGTACTTCAAAAACTTATCATAGAGCTAGATAAAAAATTGCAGCCAACAAGAAGACTACAGCAGGAGTGCAGAAAATGTAAAAGACATCTCGCTTCTCTACCATCACGAAACTTGATCTCTTTTGATATCAAGGTACAAGAAAAGAGATCTTCCTTCTCTTATCAGTTACAACTCTACATTTTAGGCCAGATCTACCTTGCCAGTTGCCAATGTTTCTCGAAGCATCTTTGCTTTTGCTCTTAAATATGTACATGGCTACTAATAATGATTACTAACGGCAGTCAAATTATGCTAACCAGTAACCACCAGTATGAGTGGGCAAGTAAAAAGTATTACACATCATACCATGTCAGCAAAAGGTGAGCAGATAACGAAGCCTAGAAATTTAAAACATGGCCATTTGAAGTCGAAATAGACATCAAAATAGAGCACCCCAACAACTACATCAGGATAAAAGCAGACCTGGCAATGCTCCTCTGATAATGATTGATTGGAACGAATTATTTGGTGGAGATCAGTATCCATGAGCTCATAAGCAATGTAGACGTCATTAAATGACATCCTCTCTGGAGGTGGAATTATATCTCTAATTGCAACAACCTACATGAAATTGAAACCAGATATCAGTTTCAGAAATTGTAGCAACTCTTAAATCCAGAACTGTTTTATTGTTCAAGATTTATTTTCGAAAAATAGAGGAATTAAGAACAACAAAATTGGATTGAACACAACTATAGTCATGTTGTGTGTCTAACCATAGTAATTTGGAATTGCTTCATGAAGTAGGGTTGAGACAAAATAAACGGTTATATTGCATTCATGTACATTGTACACATTAATGAACCACAATCTAACGACCTTGAGCCTGAGCAACACGCTGATCGGAGGGAATATGTGAATGGTATCAAATTGTATTTATTGATTGAAGGAACAAAATGATTGCATAACACTATAACAGCTATTAAAGAAGGTTATTTAAGAAGACAGCAACTCAATAGCCAAAGTACGAGTTCAGTCAAATCTACACCTAGACACTCCAAAGCTACTAGATCAATCTTAAATTCCATTGGCACATAGTTCTATGGGGGCATAATAAAATGATAGAAATCAAAATTTTAATCCGAGAAAATATATGTAATTATCTATCATAGGCATCTGGTTGATCTCAACTTCTAGATTAAGAATCACATATGAGGTCTCAACTATGAGTCTTCCAAATTCTGTGCCTACCTAAACTCTTGCTGTATTTACATCCCATCATAGATGACATTGAAGCTAATTCCTCAGCTTACAAGGAGTACCAAACACATAAGAATGAATTTCATGAACAATAAAGCATACAACTGATGCAATTATTACAATTATTTGAAAAGCGGCAGCTAAAAGGTTTCTCAATCATATGGCAGCTAATAAAGTCTCTTAAACATTGATTAAGAAACAATAGTGAAAAAGTATGAATTGTACGAACTTTTACAGGTCATATAATCAAGCAGTAATCAAGAACCAACATTGTCAATTCAATTCCATATTATGCCTGTACATCATCAATCATGGACTACCATGAAGAGTGTTTAATCACCAGTACCAGCTAATCACAGCTGTAGCAAACAAAACTGTTCTTATGCGTTGCTTTCAAAGTTGAAGATGAAGTGGTTCTCTATTCACCAGCTAACATCAGCACATGTAACCAATTTGGACAGTACAAGGCAAGTTATCGAGGCAGATCTTCAACTTCAAACTTGATATCATTCAGTTGGCAGTGGGCTCCAATCCATAATATACAACCCCTAACTCGACCCAGGATGGCAAAAAAGAAAGCGAAATAGGGGACAAATAAAAATTTGTGTACAGCATCAGGTGATGAACTGCAATGGGCCGGCTGATCTTGGATGTGATTATCACTTCAGTGATTGCATTCCAAAACTACAAGTTTCCCCCAAATAATGGAACAATGACAACCAGCAATGACTAAAATCCCAACAAGAAACAAACATGATCCTATGCATTTAACGCTACCACTCACTGACGTTTTCATGATCCATATGACGAAGAAGCTTGATTTCCCGAAGCGTCCTCTTCGCATCAATTTTATTATCGAAGGCGTTGGCAATCTTTTTAATGGCAACGTGTTCATTCGTCTCCGAATTTAAAGCCGAACTGGGTACAGATTAAAAAAACCATCAGTCGATAAAGAAAAAATGAAAAAGAAAACACCAAGCGATCAGAAAGAGCGGAAGTGCACCAGACTATGCCGTATGCTCCTTTGCCAATGGGCATGATTGGGGGTTTATACTTGGCCGTAACTTCAAAGATGTTCCCAAAGATGTTATACTGGATGAACCTACCACCATGGCTGAGGGTAGCCGGGATGTTATCGATTCCGGGCAAGGGCTGCTGCTGCTGCGGTGGCGGAGGGGCCACGGCGGCCTCAGACATTTCGGTGTCGGAAGGGTGATTTGGTGGATCCATTTATACGATTTGGAAAGAATACAAGCCCTAAAAGATGGAATACAATCAAGAAGTTGTTGATGTTTTGATTTCTGTTTTCCTCTGCGCCTAACACTTTTTATTTTCTTTCATTTCCGTACCCATCTCATTTGGAGTGGACTCCATGTCTTCAATATCTTTTTTTTTTTTAAATTAAATCAAATCTAACTCAAGATATTCATTTAATATTAAATAAATTACGATTTGAGAAGGAATAAAAATTCTCTTGTAGCCACGGAGGTTCAAATGCGATAATTTCAAACTATTTGCAAAGTCAGTAGTCGTTCTGAGATTAGTTGGCTCGCATAGCGGGTTGGATATTCAAGTTAATAAAAAAAAACTCGAGTCCTACAGTATTATTTTTGAAAATAGTAATCGCAACCTCAAGTATAATTATAGGCATTACTACCACTGCATTACCACTATGGAAAGACAGTTTTTTTTATTAATTTTCATGGGTTTTTTTTCGAATGTCAAATCATCTTAAAAACCGTTGCTTTTTATCACATTTTCAAGGAAACATATATTTAATTTAAAGATCAGGGTTGATTCTATTTGAATAAATGTAGTTTATTCCCCAAATCGACATAATGGACTTTTCCGTAGGTCAAGCTGGGTTGACTTTCTCTCTAGAGTCTAGATCAACTCGTGATTTTACGGAGCTTTTATCTACCTTAAAGGTACACATACTCAAAGAAATTTTGGGGTCTATCGTTATTCACATATGAAGCAACATTATACAAAATATTATAATTTTATGTACGTCATTTATTAAGTAAAACAACACACATAAACTGATTTATAAATCTGTACAGTTTTGTAAAAATTATATGTATATAACTTTTTATTTAATGGATTAAAAGTACAATTTGGATTTTGAAACTTCATAGACTTGGGACATTGAAAATCAAAAAGGACTCTAATAAATATGATAAAAAAAAAAGTAAAAGAAGAATAATCACAAGGGTGGTGTCTGATTGGTTTGAATTTATCTCCAATGGTCAAAGGTATCAGGAGATCTCAGGTTCAAATCCAATGAGGAATAAAAATCTCTTTGTGGTCACAGAGGTTCAAATGCGGTGACTCCAGACTATCTGCAAAGCAGATAATCGCCCTGAGATTAATCGGCTCGCATAGCGAGTTAGATATCTAGGTTAATAAAAAAAAGGATTTTATTCATTATTGATAAATAAAATCCAATGCAATTAGTTTTTTTTTTTTTTTAAAGGATCATTCTATTATATACCCAATCAAAGAGCACATTGGATTAGTATGAACATGCATCCTTAGCCACCACATAGCATATGGTGATTTATATATTCCATTTATTATTCCATTTATTAGAATATAAATATAAGCATATTGATAGCAAATATAATGAAATGAAACTCCATAATAACTTCTTGTGGTATATATGTGATTTTTATTTGAAGTATATACGGTAAATACAACAAATAAATTTATATACCCTCTTTATCTTGGTGAGGTTTAAACTCTTGATCTTCTAGAAGGCCAAAGACTCACATACCGTTAGGTCAAAGACCTTTTGATATATATATATATATATATATATATATATATATATATATATATATAAGAATCTTAAAGGTTCTATATTGTTATACATGATCTTTAAAATCTTGATTTTCTGTAAGAATATATTTAGATTTATTACATATTTCATGACATTGATTAGTTTATAGTTATCGGATCAAAACAAATGTTTGATTCTCCTTAAATTAGAAGTAAAAATATGTAGATTGTGACGTCTTACAAACTGGATTTGTATTTTAAACTCAAATAATTAACAGATAGGAGTAATGATGACAGATGCAAACATATAATTAGAAAACAAATAACAAACTGCTAACCAAGTGATTGGTTACATTCAGAAATTACGTACAGGATAAGTATTCACTAAAAAACCAACAAAAAGAAGATATTGACAATGTAGATTAATTCTACAACCAGTTTACCTGAAAAACGCATAAAGAAGAAGCAAATTTATAAAAGAGAGAATGATTGATATTGTAAAAATCTGACATTGAGATGGAAGAAAATGTAATCGAACGAACTGTTGTTTTTAAGAAGAAAAGAATCAGTACAAGATCATTTAAATCTTAATCAGTTAATGTATATAATTTTTTATAAATAAATACTGTAAATATAAACAATCGAGACCCTATTTTTTGCTGCGATTATCCTCGTCCAGAAACAACCCTGTAAAGAAACGGTTTTCGTGAACACATTTGACTTGTAAAAACCTTTTACAAACACGATTTTACAAATACCAAAATTGATTAGTGATAATTATAACAGAATAAAAACAAATAAGAGTTATAACAAAACTTATTATTCTAATTAGTAACATTTGACAAATCAGGTTCTAATTCCAAGTTCTAGAACTTTCTAGAGGCAAAATAATCTTTAAGAATCACGTAAGCCATATAGAAAAGGTAAATTTTCATGTTAATTACAAAACTACTGAACTATTCTAACTTAATAAAATATACATTTTGTTATCAAATTTTGTTATGAACTGTTCGTATTACTTATTCTTCCTCCTTTTCAATCCTATATATCTTTAATTACGTTTACTGTTTTTAAACTTTATGCAAGAACTGAAAATTGGTCGGTTTGAAAAATACTCGAGAGATATTAAAGTTTAAGCAGATATTGAATTAATAATAATTATTATAACCAGATGCATCATCAGTTGCAATATGATTCGTTACAAACCGTTGGTTGCATTGTTCATTTGTTTGATGGTTTATCTTTTAGCTATTTGTCGTGTTCCATCTTACTGCGATTGATACAATTTAAAATTAAGAAGAAAAAAAACCAACTGAAGTTTGATTGATTTTCAACAAGGGTGTTCAAATCATACCCAACCAACCAATATATTATCAAGTAGGACCAATTAAATCGGTGATCAATGTATCTGGTCGATAATACCTTACTGATTTTGGATTTTTGATACAGTACAGATATAGATTTCCCAGTATCATGGTAAAAAGAGTCGGTAAAAATGACAAGGTAGTGTAATTTTGTAATAAAAAAAAGTCAAGCATAGTTTTCCAATGGTTAAAAGATATGAATCATATGTATGTATATGGGGATACATTAAGCATAGAAAATCAAATTGCCCTCTTGAAATGTAAATCTAGTTGTTATGCAAAAACTGATTTTGCAGCCTTTAATAAATGTGATTCTGATCCTCTAATCTTTTCATACTAAAATAATCATATTTTTGAAAAGCAAATAAATAATTACCATTGCAACTAAGGGTGTTTGTGGGTTGAGTTGATCGGGTTGAAGACATTTGAACAACTCAACACAGTACTTGCGATTTGAAAAAATCTTAACCTAACTCAACCCAACCCAACTCGTACGGGTTGGTCGGGTTGATATTTTGATACATTAAAATATTCTTCTAATCTTGCATATGTTATTTCTCTACTCATAATTTATTTTTCATCATCAATCACTTGATACAACTTATCCATATTTCTTACGTATATCACATTCAGTTAATTTTCTCAGTTTACATATATAAGTTCACATTTACTGAACATATATACGAATGAGTTATATAGAGATGTTAATAGTTTGAAAATATGTGTATATGAAGAGTGTATGTGATAGTATAACTGTCTAATGTATATTTTAATAGAAATTCAACGATTATATTAAATCCAAGAATAAAAGAATATCGGGTTCATTGGATTGGGTTGGGTTCAAATAATAATAACTCAATATCATCGGGTTGCTTCGGGTTGAGTTATTTCATGTTGGGTTAGGTTGATCGGGCTGGTCGGGTTTTTGAGCACCCCTAATAGCAACACTGTTTTTTTATAAAATGGTTATCATTATCCCTATTTACCTTATCATGTAATATTCTCGGTTATCAAAATAGTTGTTGGTAGAATCTTAAACCCGATAAGTGTTTACTGGGTAAAAGTTAAAACTCTCAATGTTTTGCTTCTTACTGGATAAGATTCTTGATTTTTGTCATCCTCAATAAGCAAAGAAAGTAATATGGGTAAACGATTACCCAGTAAGCATGTAGCAAACGACAACTTATTAGCATATGGTAACACAAAATGTCGAGGTACCTTAACATATGTTAATATACATAGCGTACATCGACAAAACCTGATGTGTCCAGATGTTAAAAACTAAAGACCGAATTGTTTCTTTTTTACTTAAACACAATCATCCACATCGGATAGAAGACGATCGATGGCTACACATGGGTTCTCAAGGCTTTTACAGAAAATGGAAACTTTCACCAAAACCCGACCGTAAAAGAGCAAAATGCAAGTGAAACATGCTTTAGTTTAATTCATATTTTTAAGAAACCATTTTTTCAAATTTTTCGTTTATATTTGTACTATATTATAAAGCATTTGACAAAAACTTTTAAAAACCATTTTTTATGCATGAAGTATGGTTTATTAATCCATATTACTTAAAATTTAAATTACAAGTAAATTGTGCATAAGTACAACTTATTAAAGCTCTATATTTGAATTCGTGTAACTAACTGTAGATAAACATAATCAAATACTGGATAAATATCTTATTTTAAATATAAAAAATCTAAAATATAATTAGGATAATCATTGAGTTCTAACAGAATACTTTGTTATTATCTTTACAAAAAATTATGTTATTAAACCTAAATTAAAGTACTTCGTTACGAAACCTAAATTAAATTGTAATAAAAATTTAAATTAAAGAAATTACACCAAAAACAAGAATTTTTAAAAAGGTTAACTTGATACTGATATCAATATTATTTTTTTTTCAAAATTTTATGATATTTTCAAATTTATATTTTTTAAAAAATAAAAAAAACTATTGCGTTCTCAAAATCACATAAAACCATATTATATCGACATAAAAAAAGAATAAATCGAAATACTGAAATTGAAATGTGTCTCGATGCATTGCACGAATACCCTTCTAGTACTTCTAAAAATGTATATTTTAAGTATAATAGTCATCAATGACGGCTTTTGAAACTAGGTTTTATGAAGCTTTTGAAACGTAGTATCTAAACTAAAGTAGAAACCAAACTAAAGTATGTTCTATTTTTATATAGATTTTGGCCTAAAATTACTTACCTAACTTTTGTTTCGAGTGAACCATATTTTTCGTCCCTATAGTTTTTAAAAATTGAAACTTTCATCCCTATCGTTTTGAAATTATGGTTTTCATCTATGTAGTTTGCAACTCGTTACTATTTCGTCCCGAAATCTAACTTCTACCTTTAAGAAGTAGAGACAAAAACAACAATAAATTGAAAACCAGACTAAAACAGCAAAACTGTAAATCACAAGAACGAAAATAACTATAAATTGTAAACCATAGCGACGAAAATCATAATTTCAAAAGTATAGGGACGAAAATAGTAACGTTCAACAAACCAGATGGACGAAAAAAGTAATTTACTCTTTGCATTTTAAACAATAGTCAAAAACACACCTCCACTGATCTTTAAAAGTAGCAGTTAACAAGTGGAAACAATCTACAAAATGCTTTACAATACACATCAACCAATTCAAATCAACTCCAAAATATTGTGTCCCATCCATAAAAAGCTTGCACTCTAGGCACCAATAGATACAAAGTGTGTGTATATATATAGGAAAGGGAAGGAAATACTAGAAAGAAAAAAAAAGCAAGCAATCAAGCCGGAAGAAGGATCAAATTATACAGTGACCTCGGATATGTAACAGTGAGATGACGGTGATGCCATCGAACGGAACCTTCAAGAAGGTGATCGGCTTCTATGATGGTCCTTTCGTGTTGCTGCTTGGCGGCCGGCCAATCAGCCTGCATTGATCTGGAAGTAAAGAAGAGACGACTTGCCCAGAGATTCGAAAAAGTTCCCCATCGATTCCACACCCGTTGTGTGTGCTTTTTCCTGGTTTCAGTTTCACCGACTTAACCTGAAAATTTGAAACGTTGTTGATTCACATGTTATATTCGATCTAGGGGATTAGGATATGGCAGGGGAACGTTCAAATGAGAACCATAAATATTTTAAGAACTTGAGACCAACTATTTCATGAATCATTCATAATGAATAACCCTAAACTATTCATCTTACATTTCATTATTCATGATAAATATCATGAATATCCATCACGATATTTATCATAAATAGTTGATTTTTGGGTGCTCAAAATATTTAGGGTTTTCGTTTGAACATGCCTCTAGGATTGTAATCATCACAACATAAACTTGTGAAACCAAAGAAATTGAAAACATGCATATCAAGGGTCAGGCTCTGTCCCACAATGTATATACCCTAGTAATTAGTAGCAGAGATTTAATACCAAACCAACGAACCCGGTATGTCCCACTCGGAGGTGGGATGTATGCAGACCTGTCCTCTACCCCCAAAAGTAGAGCGGCTGTTTCCGAAACTTGATGAGAAAAGTAAAGGGGATGATAGAAAGAGTTGAATGCATTTGACGGTTAGTCCAAGTTTCTTAGACAACTCCCAGCAGGGAAACTTTAAACTTACTTCCGAGGGAGCTGCTTCCATCTCGGTAATTCCCTAACGAGAACGAGATAGCTGATGGAAAAGTAGCCCTTGATCCAAGGGAACGCTAGGTGAACTTGCGTACCAAGCTCATATGGTTGCACAGTTCTTGTTCATTAGCTAATATCGATTAAATATAATATCTAATTTTTAAAAGTATATAGTATTTATATACTGCAGATACTCGGGCAAAAAACTACTCACCTTTGGTGAGGTTTGAACCCTTGACCTCCTGGAAGGCTGGGCTCTACCAGTAACCCGAGTACCGCCGGGTCAATGACCCTCTGGTAATATAATATCTATACAACAACTAGAGTTTGATATTTAAAATCTTCAGCCAGTGATATATATACCTTCACATATTCAACATAAGGAAGAGAAAGGTGTCTTCCCATCTGCAGAAGCAAGAAGAACCTCAACAGCCTTAGTCTTCCGCTTCCATGAACCAACAATAAATCCAAAGTGTTATCATCATGCTCTGCTTTTGGTGCCACCACCTGAGAACTCAAACTTTGAACAGTTTTACACGAATGGTTGCAGACCAGAATACCAAGAAATTTGCCTTTCTTAACAACCCAATTTTCTTCCAGTATAACCCCGGTTTCGTTCCTTTCTCCGCTTCCAACATCATCTGGTGGGCCTGGCAATTGAATTGGATTTTCCATGTCCCAATTAGGTTCCGTATCCCACTTTGGTTCTGCATCCCAAATCGGACCCGGATCAGACATCGTTGATGATATATCCTCTTTGTCGTTTGCTCCTAAGTTTCCCCAAGAAGATCTAGTAGGATCCTGTGATGCAGTCACTCCACTCCATCCTTTATCTGCCCTTGATTTGGATCGCGTTCTTGGCCAGTTTGGAGTCGATGAAAGTGGTAGCTGAGGATGGATGACTTCTGGTTCTGATGGCATATTGGTTCGTCCACTTGAAAGGCGTTTTGATTTGGGATCTATGGCTCGTACATAATCTGATGGCTCGGTGCTACTACAGGTTGTATCCATCTCTGCTGCAGATCGGCCTGGGGTCATTATAGAGTCGATACTAGACAAACTAGAGGCTCTAGGAATGCCATCGGTATTTGATCTCCTCATGACATCTGTGTATAAGTCTGACATATCAACTACATCTTTGTCAGCCAAGGCTTTTCTTTCTAGATCACCTTTTTCTTTGGATGCTGGAAGATATTCCAGTTCATAGCTGTATTTTGGTAAGCATAAGAACTTGAGGACACCAGCAACAAAATAACGTAGCGGACCAAAGCGTTTCTGGTATCTATCAGAAAGTTCCAACACTGTGACAAAGATGAATATTATAGTTATCAACATGCCAAACTAGTGCCTGAACTACATTTTAATGGTTTCAGCAGACCAAACCGATATGATCTTAATGATGGTGCTGTGTAGAATAGTCATACAACGTTTTCTTGATATACACGAATAGGTAGTGAAAGCATCTAAATGAAGAACAGAAAGACTCAGAAAAGAATAGGGGATATGAAGAAATAAAAAGGCAAAAAGGAAAGTAGAGAAAAAGAGGAAAGCTTGGAAGATTACCTTCCCATAAAAAACAAACTCCAAATGGGTGAGACTGTTAAACATTAGATATAATCATCTTCAACCCCCCAAACCCCTCCCCCCAAAAAAATGAAAAAGAAAAGAATTCCGCCAATGATCCCAAAACTCTTTCAAGGGTTTTACTTTAGTACTTATGGTGCAAAAATTAATGGTAACATAGACAAGAGTACGTTTGGAACTCAGAGCTCAAGAGACACTGTAGGAGTGGAACACAATTTACTTATCTACATGCATTACGTAGTTTAAATGTGCCCTTGAACAAAATTGTTTAGCCATGCTTCAATGAGAGATACAAGGGCATTTTAGTTCTTTTAGTATGTTGGCCTACCATATATTAACTATCAAGTAGATACGGATAGATTGGGGTTAGGGATGACAACGGTTGGAGAATAATTGCCAAATAACATCAATATTGGGGATAAGGGATGAATACAAAATTACAACAGGTAAGTCAAGGTTTGGACCACACAGGAGAATAATTGCCAAATAACATCAATATTGGGGATAGGGGATGACAACGGTTGGAGAATAATTGCAACATCTTTCATCTTTGTAAAAAGGTTTTCAGGATTCAAAAATCCTGGGAAGGTGGTACTGGCTGTAGCTACTGGGACAAATAATTACAACAGGTAAGTCTATGGTTTGGACCATACCGAAAAACTGAAATTAGATGGTGAAGGATGTGGAAATCCAGAATTCAGCATAATATATGCATGTCTATAATATCATACAAACAAATCATGTCCGTTTGACCAGTAATCCTAAATTCCTAATTGCATTAACCTGGACCACTGCAGCAAGGATACTTGCGAGTTGGAACTTGATGCATAATTCACACATGGCTGACTAAATCATCCAAATTTAGCTCAATAGTCATATCACGTTTTACAGTGCATTGTCATCAATACCCCAAAACAATGAACCAAGCAACAAGAATGCTATAGTACATTTTATTATTTCGTTTGAAGAGGAAGAAAAGCAAGTCTTGGAGTTCGTGTATCACCAACAACATGATACATATGAAGGTATGGGTCAAGGCTAGCACCTCCTATTGCAAGCAAATGAAATGTAATTCTATGTCTCCATAAACAACAATAAAATAATCTAAAATCCAATTGTTAGAAAGCATCAGGACTTACCATCACTAACAAACCCAAAGTATGAAACAGTCGTTCCAAAATGAATTACACCTGTCTGAATCCATTCAACAGCAAATACATCCGTAGCAGTTAGACCTCCCTGGAAAATAGAAGGATGAACATATTAGCTTAAACACGAGGTATTTTCATTGTATCACATGCGTTAGCATCCTTTCAATCTTCAGTGTCATGAGCTTCTAGTTAACCAAACATCTACATCATTTTCTCCATTACTACAGTGAATTTTCTAGAGCACATAAGAAGCCTTTTACACCAAACTAGTTGGGGTAGACCAAAAATAAAATCAGAGGAAATTATGGAACTAGGTAACCCAAAATCAAACAGAGAGGCGACCCCTAGCCAAATAAATACTATCCAACAAGTTCTCTTTATATCTTCTCTTACTTTGTTGTCAAGTTTTTATGTTTCGGGAATGGAAAGCTGCATTACTATAAACTAACAATAAACAAGATATTCTTTTAAGAATGTTTCTATTTCAGTAAGAAAAATAAAAAATACAAAAGGCAAAGAATAACCGAATTCTCCTAAATACACTACTTCTGGGTGGGCTGGAATCTTTTACATCTCTTGGAGAACCATTTACATCCATGAAAAAAACTTCTTAGGTCATGGGAAAAAGGCGTTTGACTGGATGAAAGCATACTATGTTCTCCGAGGAATTTTAACTTAGGAGATACACCACTTTTACAAGAATCCCTTTACCAGGGGAAGGCATTTAGCAAGGTATACATGGATATGAAGTTACCCTCAGGCCATGGCCAAAGAACCATTTCATACAAGGGGAGAACATATATCAACAAACCAAGATCCACGAACAACAAGCAATCATCTCAAGGTCAACGCCAGCATCAGCAAGCCTTAGGTTGTAACACAGCTACAATGCCATCAGATATGAGTTTGTTGCAATGAAACCTATGGAGATAGCTGTCCTGCAACTATAGTATCCCTAAAGAATCCTGCAGCTGAAATCCTGCAAGACTGAGATGAAGGACCTGCTAGAAGTTCACTCTAATGGCTTATGTCTACCTGGAGCTTATTTTGCATCATTTCTAAGTAGTCATGAGTCACTTCTCTCCTGATTTTTAGGGATTTTGTTCCACCAAGTTATGTTCATTTGATGTTATTTATGCATACTGGAGGGCCACTACTTGATTTCGGTTGTTCAATGCCTGCTTGTGTCATGTGAAGTGTGTAAACTTTAAATAATTTGAGTATTTGAATAATTTTCATCTGTTTGCCATTAGCAGTTATCGGAGGCAAGAAAAAACATATTCGACCTCAATCTTTCAGGTCAGATTAATATCATAGATTACCTTTACTATAGCTAGTGCAGCAGAAACTGGATCCTTAACTCCGAGAACAGTCCAGACTAAAGAATTGTCAGAGCCAGCAGGTATGATACCAATAGGAATTGAAATTGCTTCTTTCTGGTTGTCTCTGCAAAGAAGACCATTCAAAACCTGCACAATGAATAACATCATATAAATGAACTATCAGTAAGAAGACGTGCGTCACCAAATTAGAACATATGCATATACAAAATCAATACCGACACATCTTGTTCAACATTTATAGTACTGTATGTTGAATACTTGCACTGGTATCAACTACGCTTTTCATATCTCATACATCCAGTGACGGTGTGTAATACTAGAACAATTTAAAACAGAGCAAGCACTGTTTTTGAAACTTGATGATTATGATAATCAAAGCTAAAAAGAAACTATATACTTCTCCATTTAAAATCAAGAGACGTATTTCCCTAGGGAGTAATTCAATATTAACAAACTAAAAATCAACTTGTTACACTTCTTTTACTATGTACAAATGCAGCTCTTATAACTCACGAGAAAAAAACATTGATAATAATCACATTTATTGTTCAGGAAGTTCAAATTGGCATTCTAAATATGACTTTAGATTTCGAAATACATCTCTAATTTCGGGGATATGAGTTCAGCTCAGAGATACATCTCTAATTTCGAGAAGTATAGAAATAGTTACCTAAACATATTCTATAATGTTTGAAGACCTTCTTGAATCCATTAAAAAGTTCACTCTACAAAGAAACCTAAGTCATCTATCCTGTGTCACTTACATAAATTATATTTTTTTGTTGTGTAACAAACAATAGCTGTTTATTCAAGCCTGCTGTAATCATCTTTCATTTTTGGTAGACACTGGACAACAAAGTCATAGCCACATTCTGTAACATAATCTTTGGAGATCCTGGATGCTCTTCATATAGAACCTATTCATATTAGGGAATAAATTATTATTGTACTTGGGCACTGCTTCCTCCTATATATTTCAATCATCTGGAAAAAAAATCCAAGTTTGACTATTGAGGATCGAAGAGTTATTCTTCAACTACAAAAATAAACAAAAATTGTTCCAGTTGTAGATTAATAAATAATTACTATTTAAACTATAACCATGTGTTATGATAATAAAACATGTTCAGTGGTGGTTGGACTTGTTCGTTATAACCTAGAGATCATGAATTCAAAGGTAAAACATGTATATTGTCCAGTAAATTACCAAGGAGGCGTCAATTTGCAAACACCAAAATGTTTCATCCCTTTGGGTGTGTTTTCCCCTGTGTTGGAACAAAGAAAGCCAAAAGATGTATGTCCATACTAAGTTTGAAGTTCCAACATCAGCGGACTCCTTTCCAAAATGGAGATGGTATTAGTTACTCTTCTAATTTATTAAAAGATAGATAGTCCTGTAGGGCACTATGCAACCTATACAAATAATTACTAAACTTTCACGTAGCAGGGGGTGATAATTGTTGCCACCTTGTGGGTATGATGACAAACCATGAGGTTCAGTTAGCATGAATGGGTTGTGTCGCAAGGGCCTTGACAAGTGCTAAGAGATAGGTTGAAGTGTTCATTACTCGTATTTAAATTACGGTGGCCAAATATGACCAAGTCAAAAATTAAACACCAACCTCGTTGACAATTCCATCGCCTCCAACACATATGATTCCTGGTATAAGGTACAAAAATTCAAATGGCTTAATTGACAAATTATTATCCAAAGCCTAAACCAAAATACAAAAGGAAAAGATACAGAATGCCTACCATCAGGACATGTGCTAAAATCAACACTGTAAGCTAGATTTCTAGCATGGCCAGCAGAAGTTGTCTTGACTACCTCCAGCTTAAACCCTGCAAGCTGTTGGATATAGAGAAAAATATTACCCTCATGAATAAAGCTGATCTCTAAACAGACTACATCGCTTGACGATTAGTCAAAAAACTTGTCAAGTACAATGCATAGTCCGTAGAAGCAGAAAAACTGCTAGAAGCTTAAGAAAGGTCGAGCAAAACGTATTGAACCTGCAAACCCAAGGGTCCAGAAGGCATATAAACCGCACCTACATGAATATTGGTGCTTAAGAACATAGGCGAGAACCATAAATTCTTGTGTAGAAAAGTAAATCAAGTGCTATGTCGAAGGGGCATGTTAGCCGATACTATTGTTGGGCTTTTGTCCACGAATATTAAACCTGCAAAAGAAAAAGGTCCAGAAGGCATACAAACAAACCTACATGAGCCTCCATGCTCGAGCTGGCTCACACATGAAGGAAGTACAGAAGCTTGAGATTATTGTTGGGTCCACTATCTAGCAAGCTTATGCTTTTAAAAGAAACGAACTCAAGGAATAAACGGATTACAAGCGTGAAGACTGGACAATTAGTTATCATATGTTGCTCTTTTTCCTTCGGAGCCAATTTCAAAGCCAAAGAAATGGACCGGAGGTGATATTACTTGACTTGATCCCTCTGTCTAACTGGTTAATTAGTGTGAACTGCATTTTGTTTAGTATTACCACCTCCATTTCACATCTTAAGCTTCTACTTAAGATGGTGATTCGACCAGCATGATTCATGCTATCCAAATCTGAACCTTCTCAACTTGTTATTCAAGGATTTGAGAAATAACTTGAATCTAGGTTGAGTTCATAAACAGAGACAAATATATTGAGATGCTTACAAAGGTAAGACAAATTCAAAAAAGAAAATATATACAGAAATTATGCTTTTTATATCATTATCCAATGTCCAACCTTCATCTTTGCAAAGCACAAGTATCACCAATAACATTGGACGTAGACAGTCAAGTCTGAATGTCAATTAACTAGAACAGATATTTAACATGATGTTTCAAAAGATCAAAGGTTATAAAATACCTTAAATATTGGTTCAACCAAATTATGGAAAACTTTGCTGGAGCGACCACGTCCGGACCGTGGATTTAAGATGACGAGCATCCGAGGTGGACTTTTACTTTTAATATGTGTATAAGAAAAATCAGTAGCCAATATCTCAGAATCCTGCTTCTTGGAAGAGACCAAAGGATGAGGAGAACAATTCACAAAACAGTGTTGATCTGCAAACCCAGTAACCCATTGAAAAGCTTCATCTGGAGTAGAAGCCAAGAAGCAAAAATCCTTCCTACTTCTGCCAGATTTCAAGAAGCAAGAAAGGCTGTATGAGGGCTTTTTTACAGGGTATGAATGTACTATAAAATGTCGCAGACCATAGTTGTAAGACACCTGCAGAAGTCGTGAGTTGTGAAATTAACTAGCAAGTTCCATATGGAAAAGCAAAACAGCCACCAATATAGGGAAAAAAAGTGGAGTGAAGAAAAAATTCAAGACAAGACATACTGAAATCACATCATCAAGATTCAAAACATGAGAACCCCAAACCAATGCCCTGCTTGTTAGTTTAGCATCAACAGTATCTAGATGTGCAGTTTCCGTTGAATTTTGTGCATCAGTAGCTTTGATGGTCTTTCTCTTATCTAAAACAAGCTTCCCGGATATGACTTCATATCCCAGCAAATCAGATTGCTCGTCTCCAATATCAATCTTGTGCTCCTCCCTCTTTGCTTTCTTGGAATCATCACTGCTGATGTTGCCGTCATTTCGCCTTGAAACCTTTCCCTTGGTACGTTTTTCCGGAAACACAACTGGAGAGGTCTGCTGACCAGTTGCTATTTGAGAGCAAAAGTTAAGGCGACGGAGTGACTGTTGAGGCGTCAATCTTAAAGAATTGTTCTTGGGAAGACTGCCACTGTTCTGCATGCCGTTTATAGTGGGAAAAGAACGGAACACAAAGGACAGTGGCAATCGAAATTTCGCCTTAGCTGTAAAAAAATGAATAGCCAAAGTCCACTATAAGTGCCGGCACAATAGATCAGTATGCATGTTACTCATAGTCACCATATACAAAGTCAAGAAACAACAATGTCCCAAAGAACCAGAAGCACATCATATAGTTTATAAACCAAGAAACCTGTCGAATATTAATTTATATGATCCATCAATAGGAATTCATAAGGAGTATGCCATAGCATATGCACAGCTAGAAACCAAAAGATAAGCTTTAAGAAATAACGGTTGCTACTTGGGTCCAATAAAAACCACAATAACTCACTTTGAAGTTCTGTTGGAAGACACAACATTTCCTTTAGGTAAAGTGATAAACATATTCATGCAAAATTACTTATTTTCCCATTGTCACCCTGACACAGAATTAACAATGGATTGGAATCCACAAAATCTCCTGTGTTTTGTCATCAATAGAAGGTATTCAAGAAAAATGGGTTATAGTCAAACATTGTCCTTCAACTATGTATTTAGTCAAACTCTGCAATTTTTGATGGGGCAAGTAAAAAGGAACTAGGGATTCTAAGTGTCACACCTAAAATACATAGAATCTTATGAGTATCACACCCAAGAGGCCAAGATTCCCTAAGGCATCTAACCTAGAGTTGATTGTTTCACAAAATCAAATAGAAAACGCTTTCAGTTATTCACTTAATATCATGACATTCAATCCTGGGCATGTCATCTCTTTATAAAAGAAAAACCCTACTTAGACACAGGAAACAACAAAATAGACAAAAGACTAAAGTGCCTTTAATAACCAACAATACGTAAATTGACCAAAACTAGCCTAAATCCCTCCATCATTAATAATAAAAGCCAAAATACAACTATCAAGTTAAAAATTAGATAACAAAAATAACAGCCTAAACAATATCTTGTTTGGCCATGATCTCACAATTCTCACCAAAAGCAAAGTTATGTCATTAGAATGTACATCAACAAATAGAACTCACTGAAGCTATCTGACATCATCCTTATCGACTATTTGATCTCTACATTGAACATTAAAAGAATTTCCATAAAACTTCCTATTGGCTAATAAACATTGGAATTTCTGTGACAGGGAAAATGTACCTATATCCACTTAGTGGCCAATGAATGAGCTGGAAAGTCCATTAACTGACAACAACCAAACTAGACAGATCGACCAGAGACAAAGTTTGCCAAAAGTTTTTATGTCCATAGTCATAGGTCAATATTTTGTTTTTATAAGAACACTTGTCCTCCATCTGATCACACATCCATATACCCAAATGTATGCACAGATTACCATGGGACTAGCTAGATGCATGCCTTATTCGCAGGGCTTGTTAATGTCATGGTTATCAACTGCTCCAATTCTGGTGTATCGCAACCCAGTATTTGATGTTCAACAAGCGAACTGTTCCAAAGTGATATCAACTTCTGAAGCCAGAGATCAACAAATCACCACCACCAGTATGCAGTACCAGTGTCTAGCGCTGCTTGCTAGATCAGCATGAATGCGAGTCAACAGTCTGTAGATGTTTGAATCCACCACGTAAAAGTCATGTTAATATGATTTCTCTGCCTTGTGTAAGTGCTCAACTATGCAAAGATGGAGAATGTAAGGTCACACTTTGTGAGCATACACTTGCATAACTCCCAGTTTCTTCTGGAAATTCATGTTGTTCTAGTACCTTATACATGTCCCCTCTGCGCACAATCCTAATTGTTAAAGATACCAGTAAGGTGAAGGGTAAACTCCCAATGAACAGTCACGTGGCGGCATCAATCAAATGAGGAGCATTCAGATTTATGGGTATCCGACAATCGCACAATCGCAACAACCTTCTGTAATGAGTGTTTTATTCTTATCCAACACCAGTAACTACACTCAGGCATATGACTCAGACATAGAAAATAGAACTATCGGTTGAATCAAGAGTCCATAAATTTTGCAACATCGGGTTTCCAATACAACCATGAACAAAGCATAAGGCGTCCAAAATTTTAACGTATAAACAAATTGCCAACGAACATATACGAAGCAGCTAGGATAAACGCTCTAAGTTTTTGATGGATTGAACATGAACACCAAAAATAGTAATTACATTAGAAACAAAACAAAGATTCAGACATAAATTACACGGCAATATACAAATAATTCCACAGGCAAGCAGATCAAGTAAAACAAAAGCATCGAAACAAAAGAAAAAGGAGCGAGGAAGTACCAAATGATACGATCGCCACCTGATCGTCAGAGAGGTGCCGAGACAGAATTAAAGTGACTGGCAGCGAATCGAAGCAGATAGTTTTATAAAAGTAGATATATATACATATGTGTGAAGAAATCAAATAGTATGGTTTGTATTTGTCGGTGAGGGGCGGCGATTGTCAACGAACACGGCGGCGGTAGGTAAACGACGTTTGAGTCGGAGTGGGAAGACGATGGATTGTTTTGGAGAAGAAGAGGATCGACTGTATCATGATCCAGAAACAATTTCCACCCAAATTATTTTTTATTTCCGTTATGTCTTTTTGTTACCACTGTCGTAAAGCAAATCTTTAATTTTATATTTTATATATTAATTAACGGGATACATATGAAACAAATATATGTTCATCAATTTATTAAATGTTAGTCTTGAAAAATAAAAAATCATATAAAATAATATCTTAAAATAAAAGTTCTTATAATTATCACAATTTATAAAGTTATCATATGATTAAATCTATATACAAGAAAAACTAAGAGCTGTATTAATAATTAATAGAAGGGTATTCGCACAATACAGTAAGATACATCTTGATTTTAATATTTATTTTTTTCTTTATCGCAATCGATGTTATATTATGGTCTTATGTGATTTTGAAAAGACGATAATGTTTTTATTTTTAAATAAAATATAAATTTGACAAAAATATACCGATATTAGTATCAAGTTAACTATTTAAAATTTCTATTTTTTGTGTAATTTTTTAATTCAATTTTTTTATTATAATTTAATTTAGGTTTTATAACAAAGTAATTTATATTTGGTTTAATAATATAATTTTCTTATAAAGATAATAATTAATTATTTTGTTAGAACTCGATAATTATTCTAATTATATTTTAGATTTGTTATATTTTAAAATGAGATGTTTATCTTCTATTTGATTATATTTATCCATAGTTTTTTTAATTAACCTGGATATCCAACCCACTATGCGAGCCGACTAATTCCAGGACGACCACCTGCTTTGCAGATAGCCCGAAGTCACCGCATTTGAACCTCCGTAGTCACAAGTGGATTTTTATTCCTCTTCGGATTTGAACCTAGGACCTCCTAGTACTTTTGACATTTGGAGCCAAGCTCAAATCAATCAGTCACCACCCTTGTGGTTATGTTTATCCGTAATTAGTTACATGAGTTTAAACATGAAGTTTTAATAAGTTATACTTAATGTATAATTTATTTTAACACCAATTAAAAAAAGTATTACGTGTGAAAAATAAGAGTATAAGCATTTAAAAAGTAATTATTTTTTTTTATAAAACATGAATAAATGATACGATGAATATGTAGGATAAAAGACGTAATCGACGTCATTGGACAAAATGTGAATATGACGTTGGTATGAAAATACATATGTAATTAAGATACGTAATCGACTTTTTCTTCAACTTTAATTTTACAGTGGATTTTAACTATAACTGTGACATAAATTCCAACATAAATACGTTTTTTGATACACATATTTCAATATATAGTTTTCAATCATTCATATATATATATATATATATATATATATTAGAAGAGTACTCGCGCAATGCAGCGAGACACGTCTCGATTTTAATGTTTTATTTTATTCTTTGTCTCTGTCGATATTATAATACGATTTTATGCGTTTTAAAGAAAACATTAATGATTTTATTTTTGAATAAAATATAAATTTGAAAAAAATTATATCAATTTTAATATCAAACCAACTATTTAAAAGTTTTCATTTTTTATGTAATTTCTTTAATTTTTTTTTTTTTTATAATTTAAGTTTAATAATGAAATAATTTATTTTTGGTTTAATAATATAACATTTTATAAAAATAATTAAGTATTATGTTAGAACTTAATGATTATCTTAATTATATTTTAGATTTTTTATATTTAAAATGAGATGTTTATCATGTATTTGATGAAATCGGATAGGGATGAACAAGTTTATAGTTGGCTTTAACAGGTTGTACCATTAGCAATAGAGGTTGTCTTTAAAAAAAATTTAAAAGTCTAAGAGTTTTTAAGAATTTTAACCAAATGCTTTATAAGACAGTATATATATATATATATATATATATATATATATGTTATTATCCAAAAACATAATTTATTAAAATAATAATATTATCAATGGTTTTAAAGGAGATGACATTAGATAAAATCAAATACCATAAAATCATAACCTAATATACCTTTATAAAAATTAAAACACCATTTTAACTTAAGATTAAAACAAGAGAATCAGGGTTCCAGAATTTGTTATAAATATTATGAAAATGACTGTCATAAATTAATAATTAACAGTAAAACCATAAATACAAACCTAGACATAGAAAAAGACTGAAATCATAAAAGACGAATAAGACCTAGCCTTAAAGACACTATGTGTCAATATCACCGTATTTTAAAAGCTTAAGATGCTGTTAACATCACAATGTATAAGATTAAAACCCTAACATACCATATCTCTTTTTTCGTGAATAATACACAAGAAATTCAATACAAGCCATGTATACGTGCATTAATTTGTCTGTATAAAATGACAATTTTTGTTGTTTGTGACGGGTTTTTCATAGATGAAATGAACACGTTTTTTTAATTCAAAGAGACATGTTTTGGATTTTTTGACAATCTATTAAAGTTCCCCCTAAAAGCTTACTAAATAAGCCATCTTTTTATATCATTAAGCCACTTACAAATAATCATATATAGCTAACCGAATAAGCTGTGAGTCTTATTATACTCATTAAGCCACTAACAAACAAACCCTTTAACATAAAATGTTCACTTGACTCGATTCAAAAAATAAAAAAATTCAAAACCAAGCCCTATTATTATGAATCTATACACGAAACATCTGGTTCATTTTTTACCCGTAAATGTCAACCAACTTAATTTCGTATTATTAACATGCTTTTTTAAACTTACAAACTGTAAGAATAAGAATAAGAATAAGAATATATATATATATAGACTTGGGATTGAGACCAAAAGTTTTTCATGAGACCCGTAAGACTAATTCTCAACCCTTGGATTAGATATACAATCTGAACATTTATAAACGCCATAAGACTTCTCAATAATCATAAAATTGTCACCATGCAACTTTAGACCATTAGATCATTAGCTTATAAAGTTGATCAATAAACATAAATTGGTCTTACGAGTCTCACAAAAAACCTTTGGTCTCATTTGATCCCAAGTATATATATATATATATATATATGCATAGAATAATTATAAAAAAGGTGAGTTTTGTGTTAATAAGTAGGTTCCAACCCAACCTCTGGTTGGTACCAATGTTTGTTTAGTTAAATCGCAATTATGAGTTGGCTTTGGTGTCAACTGCCTCATTCGTCCAATTATTTCATCATTATAAACTCATTTTTCTATTCACCCTTTTACCCCATAATCAAATTGGATGGATAGCTTAATGGATGCAGCTTTTTTTTAAAGTACCATTAAACTTTATAAACTTTAATAATTCTTTTTTACTTCTGAATAGAAAAAATACTGTTAGAAGTTTAGGAAATCTGCAAGCATATGCATTTTTAAGATGGATAAAAAGGTGTATATAAGTCGTCCGAGGTGTTTTTAGACAAATTCCATTGTTTCGAGGGTTTCTTTTTGTTGATAATGAAAGAATTGTTTCTGGTTGATTTCGGTTTTTGATGGACTTTTTTGGTTGATGCACTTTATGTTTTTTAAGATCCTTAAGTACCCTTAATTTTTTTTGGCATATGCATCTTTTATACCCTAAAAACAATTCTATTTGTGAAAATCAGTTGAACGGGGTAAACGGAACAGCGTTGGGCCTTCATAGGTCCGTCTCTAGAAGAAATGTATGTATATATCTAACATAGTGCCCTACTTTACTAGATATTTTTTTTTTTCATTTTAAAATTTTCAACTCCAACCACAAAGGTGGTGCCTGATTGGTTTGAACTTAGCTCCAAAGATCAAAAGTACCAGGAAGTCTCGGGTTCAAATCCAAGGAGGAATAAAAACCCCCTTGTGGCCACGGAGGTTCAAATGCGGTGATTCCGGGCTATCTGCAAAGCAAGTGGTCGTCTTGGATTAGTCGGCTCGCATAACAGGTTGGATATCTAGGTTAATCAAAAAAAAATTCAACTCCATGTGAAAATTTAACGAAAACTTGTCTTGTCAAAATTATTCGTAACAATATGTGTGTTAAATCAAATGTTATATATATATATATATATATATATATATATATATATATATATATA